GAGAAGGGAAAAAACAGCGTTTGATTTAAGTGTCCCAACTACTTTTGTCTGAGACTGGTCTCACACGTCAAAATTGTTGGGACTTTACTCATTAAGAACAAAATGGAGGAGTAAAAGTTTTTCATAGTCTTTTTAAGTGTGCTACACGATCAGTGAATAACAATCGAAAAATTTTATTAGTCCACTTTGGTTTAAATCGTTGGTCAACAGAAAAGTGGACCTCTGGGGCCTGTTTCGGGGTGCGAGCGCACCCGTCGCACCCTTCCTCCCTACGGGTTTACCATTCACACCAGCTAAACATGTTTGATTAGAAAGAAAATGAAATACAGTGACCGAAAAATAGAACACAGCCTTTTCGGAAAATTCAAATGAATTTTAACAGGTTATGTTGCACTTAATTTGCAGTCGCTTTGGTGTAAATGGACCTTAACACTTCTGGGCGTATAAATCTGACTGCGGCTTTAAAGTCATTTTTTTTTTCAGTTAAGCAGTTTAACTTAACGGCTATAGTTGAGCTCAAAATATCCTACCTTGGAGTTTCGAGTTCCAGTCAAACTCCGCTGGCTGTAAAATAAAGAAACTACTGATTGAGTAAGGGTGAAATATTTTTGTCAAATCCTTCCTCTAGCCCAAAACGCCATACTTCTATGCCATACTTTTTTATACTTTGAATCATATTATTCATACAGCCTTAGCGTATCAGTGTTTTAAAAAGATTCGGTAATTGCTTTATTAGAGAACACAAACAACAGAATTCAAGATTGTGATTGTAACCCGCCGATAGAGTACTGACGCTCGCCGGAAAGTTGCCCTAACCGTAGAGACGTTTAGTTATCAAATAACCTGAAGAAACAACCCCTCGTGAAGCCGGTCACAACCGTCCCGAAAGTAACAAATGCCCCAAAAGAAGCGACATCCTGTAACGGCAAAATGATTTCTTAGAGATACAGGCGTTAAATCCAAAGACAAGGCCGTAGTCAACAGTATGATGCAAAACGAGGCAGTTGCCTCAGTCAATTCTTTTGCAAGGGAGAAGTACGCAAAACACTTATAGGAAATAAATAATTAAGTTAACAAAAACAAAAATAAATGCTCATACAAGGCCGGTGTGAGTAGCCCGTTGTGATGACGAGCGTCTCTAACCCTCTTTCGATCAGTTTGTGCGCTTTAGCGCTCTCACGAGGTTGAATACCTGGTGCCATTCATCTATGCGCCCATCGTTCACCCTATACACCCATGCCCTGGAAGAGAATTTAACCATGGACATTGCCACAGCCATGTTTTTGGGGGGCTACGGCAGTGTAAAGAGACCGAGGCGACAGAAATTTACAGTAAAAAAAGTGAAAAATCAGTTTTTCATAAAGTCAGAAACTTAACCTTTTTCCAATTTAATCCCACTTAGCGTTGGCGAAGAGTTAAGCTAGCATACCTTTATTATCTTAACGCCGCCTTGAATGATTGTCTGATTGTTAACCATCGCCACCAAAGCTACGTTCAGGTTAACTCTCATAGCATAGATATTAACGAAACCGACAAATATCATCAGTAACATTATATATCTTTTAGGCACCCCAATAGTTTTTGTTGTTGAAGAACTTCTTTCATGTTCTTCCGTCCCTGATTCTTCTTTCCCTCCTGTTTTTGAAGAGGGTTCCTTTCCATCATACTGTTGATCCATTTTAGAACATTAATGCAGCAATAATGAATCTTCTTCCTTGAAGGAATAAGCAATGGAATGGTTATAAAATCTGTAAAGCCTTAGTTCCATACGTTGTTGTTTCGATCAGGTTCAAACAAACACTGTATAATTTGGCGTTAATTCGACGTTAATTCAAGCATCCCATGCCTCCGTTTTGTTGATCTTGCTGAAATCAATTTGACACCAGGGCCACTTTACTGCTGACTCTAAGCCTTTCTCTGCTGGGTTATTCGAAGGGGTGGGTATCGAAATCTGGCAGGCACTGCATGGATAAATAACTATTCATTGCCGGGATAAAACGTATTTAAAGACTTAATTTCGCTATCAAAAGACAAGTATAGGAATGTAGCTAGTGCTATACGCGTTTTTGAGGAAAGGAGCTTTCTAGGTCACTTTATCCTTATTTAGCCGTAAGGCAGAATGTGGCCGGATAGAAGTTTATCTTCAGCCAAAAATATGGCTCTTAATATTGGTCTGTTAAAAATTACATTATATTGTATTGTAGCTTAGAACTGTAGCACAAAAGTAAGGTAATCGAACCTCGTGAAGTCAAAATCAGACCAATCATGTATTAGGATGACGAAACTTAGACAGAGGAGTGAAGCAAATTTATACAGCAGTGATAAAAGGTATTTGTCTTCGTATATTTTCAAATAAAATAGCTTACCTTAAAATTTTCCCTCTATCTGCCCGTAAAGTTGCGGTTAAATTGGATGTTCATATTACTAGAGATGCCGGCAACCCAAAGCCTAAAGAAACTTATATCTAAACTGAATTGTGTCAATCACAAGGCTTTTTTGAGCTGATGTAGCTTTCTAGCTGCTGGCTGATCCATGATCTTTGTCCGCAGTGTTTGAAGCCTTTCGACTGGTGGCAACAGGTAGCGCACCGAATTCAGCGCACGGCTTAACAAGTAATCACGTGATGTAGCATCCGTACCAGGGGTCGTCCGTTTCTCGAAAGTCTCGATAAATAAAGCGCCCGGAAAGCCAATGAAATCTGTTGTTGTTTATAGAGATAGAGGTTTCAATATTTTTCTAGATAACAGTGAAAAAATGTCATTTAGACCAAATGGACTGTTTTGTAACGTAGGACCCAAGCTTTGATGTGAATATTTGATTTTGGAGTTAACGCGACAAACGTGCCTTTGTCCTTTTTTCCTATAGAGAGCCAGAAAAAGGAAAGAAACCCACCCTGAGGCAAAGTGAGTAGTATTCCTAAATCATTTTCTTTATCTTTTTCATTTATCATTTTTAAAGAAAATAAGAACCTATTTAAGAACCTTAATAGCCTAAATTTGTGTTAATAACCATTTACGCAAGAACCTATTAACAGGTGATTAAGGCTAACTTGAGAAAACGCAGGTTATTACTCACTAGTTTCTACTGTGGATGTTCGTGAAAACATACAAAAATTTTCTAAATTCTGCTTAAACGATTGAACTGCACAAATATTTATCTACAAAGCTTAAACCAACAAACGGCATTTTTTTTGTAGCCGTGATGAGAGTGCTTTCACTGCATGCTTTGTCCTGTACGCACATGACAACCCCCCATCTGTAGTGCATGTAACACTTCCTTATCTGAAAATTATCCTCCCTCCCCCCCAAAGAAAAACAAAACAAAACAAAAAAACAATGAAGATGAGCTCTCAGCAAAATGTTTCGCCCTCCCTCGGGGTCATGTAGCAGCTCTCCTAACCCTAGAAGCCAATTATTGGTTAGCAGCTCCTACATTACTGCTCCCTCACAGGTAATAAACGACCAGCCCCTTAAGACTAAACTGATTGTTGATATCACTTTTTATTACTGTTGTACAGTCTTGAGAAACACTTCTGAACACAACCTGAACAGGATCCACGCTGTGCAAAATGTTTCGGCCCGTATCGTTAGCAACACAAGGAAATATGATCATATTTTCCCTATACTAAAGATTTGCAGTGGCTACCAGTAAGACAGTAGCTCTTCTACCGTCATGCAATGACTGACTGTGCACCAGACTAATTGTTTTCTAAATATATTCAAAAGCTAGCATTACTAAGTGTACCACAAGGAACTCCCAGATGTTACATATTCCTCTGTATAAATCCACCGCAGGACAAAGAACCTTCTATTTCAGAACAGTTAAACTTTGGAACAAACTGCACCCTGCATAAAAATAACCCCAAGATAAGCACTTTGCATGAGTTTAGCCACAAGATTTAATTTTATTTTTGAAAGAAGTTAAGAAAACATGGCTTGGCTTGACCACCCGCTAGTTATGACGTCATGTCTCGTAACCGTGATAGCAACTGACCATCACTGAACTTGTCTCAAAATTTGCGCGAGGGATGAGCGAATAGCTGCTGAAAACGCCACGTACTGATGGTTTATCCTCTAGGAAAAAACTCATGAAAACCTTACGGGGGGGGGATGCCACCCCCCTGCCTTGTACGTCCGAGGGTTAATTATCTTCCTTATTTGAAACACTCGGTTGTTGGGTGCCCTTCTCCCTACACTCTTCGTTATACATGTACTGTATTGCTGGTTTTCAGTGTCACGCCATTCAAAATAGATCAAAATAAAAATCAAAACCGTTGAATAGATAAAGTCCAGAAACTGGGAACTGAAAGGAGGTAAATATGCAAAGACCCTCGCCAAGATTCAGGTCAGAGGATATTTCGTATACGAGATATCCGAAGAAATGTTTTACCCAAATTTATAGAGATTTGTATGGAGTCGCCATGCTGGTGCTCATCCAGATGAGCACCAACAGTGGCGGACGGAAACCAACAGAAACATCTGTCACCGAGTTTTGCTACAAAAGCGTGAATTTATTCTTCGAGGAACTCATAAACATTAAAGTAATACTTTTTTAAATACATAAACTGTTTAGATAGCAAAATTCCCTGAAATAAGTCATTCTTTTAATCTACATGACAACTCTCTTGGCCGTCATTTAAATAGTCTGCTACACAACCGTTTTTACCGCGTTGCGTGACGACTCTAAAAACGGCTTTGTAGCAGACTATCATTTAAATGCCGTGTCACGCAAAAGCTTAGAAAAGCCAAGGACCCTTTTGAAACGAAAATTTGTATGAAAATTTGTTTTCAGCTGCTCAGGTACATCATGAAAGTAAAATATCGGTAGGATCGATAGCTTTGCAGTTTGAATTTTAGTGACGTCAAGTGAAAACCGACAATACGGGATCAATACGGGTGTTTCACAAGAAAGGTTTTGCACTTACCCTCGTTATGAAAGTGAGAGTTTGATTGTTTGGGTGCCCTGTGCTAGAATTACTCTTTACCCACCACCCACCCATACAGGGCTTCGAGAAGGAGAAAGTAGGATATACAGAAGATTGCTAACACAGGAGAATACAGTGTAGCGCGATCTCCGGAAAGTTTTGGATAGTGTGAAGCTTGCCTTCAAACACCAGAAACATGTCTAAATCACTAGCAGAGCTATGTATGTTCTGTATCGCCAGCAATCTCCAAAATGTTTCTCGTTTAGGAACGTTTTTGTCCAAGAACGACAACGAAGTCCTACTGGAATTGCTTTGTGATCATGACATGTTCACAGGGAACAATATGCCACATATAACGTACCAGTTTCTTACATCTCGGCTTGAAAACATTGCATTCCGTTACAGCAATCAGGTGGACGATACACTGCTTCAAAATGTTGCTCTCTGCGGTTGTAAGCTGAAGTCGTTTACGCTCAAAGAATGTCCAATGGTTTCAGGTATTTATTGAATACATACCACATTTACTCCAATAAGCACTGTTATTTACACCATACTCACTATTTGTTTTGACTCTGGCTTAGAGCCTACAGTTAATTTTAGAAATCAACGCAACCTACAGATTAGTTAAATAGTTGTCTGGTAACAGATACGCTGTGGCAATATGGCCAGTAACCGGTCAAGGTTTCCAAAACACTAAATGGCCGGCAGTCCTATATTCTCTGACTTTTCTAAATCGACATATGATAGTTTAGATTAGCTAGAATCTTTCGATTTTGTGAAATTTACTGAGAATATAGGACTGCCGGCCATTTAGTGTTTTGGAAACCTTGACCGGTTACCGGCCATCTAGCCACAGCGTAACAGATAACTAATCACTTAATCTGTAGGTTGCACGCTCAATACATGATTTCCAGGAGCAATGTCAAACTATGTTTGTCGTTAATGTATTTTTCCTCACTAAGCGACAGCCGAAGGCTTTTGAGCAAAGCAAGGTTTTTGTTGAAATTTGCATTGCGCATGGCACCACAAGGATCATTTTAAAAGCAAAGTGCTTTGGCCATGAATTTCTCTCTTTGTTTCTATCACTTGAGGCATCCGTAGTTACCTTGTAACAACAATACAGCGTGTAAACCAAACTGCCACAAACCTGGCCCAGGTGTTGTAGTGGCAGTTCGAAAGTTTAAGAAATGCTTTTAGCAATGAATTTTGAAGGTAGAAGAGAAAATGGGAGGGATTTCGACTACAAGCTTTAATATAACAGGGAAGCATTTGCATCCTACTTTGCAGATGAGTTGTATCAGCTTTGTTGGGCATATGTTCTTTAAATGCGATGAAATGCGTTTAAGTTCGATTGTCTACCGTTAAATGCCGGGTTATTCTCCATTTATATCGGTCTGATTTCGTTAGAATGTGGCAACTAGGTTTCGCCTGTCACCGGTCACACCAGGCCAGTGCTGTCTCCAAAAATGTAAGGGGATTACCGTCTTGGTCGGCACAGCTGGATATCCCAGGGAGTGGGATGGATCAGGCTCGGGGGGAGCAAAACTACTGGGTTAGGAGGAGCTATTTTGACACAACCCCTTCAGCAAGGAGCAGTGTTTACTAGAGGCCTTGACTGGCAAGTACCTTGTTCTTAATTTGCCGTAGCGAGCTGAATCAGGCCTCTGCTGACAATAATTATCATGATAATTGCAGAGCTCAGTGGGAGGTGCAGACTGTTACGCAGTGTGCCTGGTGGGAAGGGTGAAAGGTTTGGTACCAAGGACTTAAGCTTAATAATAGCTAACAGCTAATGTCCAGGGCCGGGTTTTTCGAAGCTGGGTTAACATAACCCAGGGTTAGTGCGAAATTTGAACTCATAGTAATTTCGTAATAGCTTCATACCCCAGTAATACCTTACCTGGCTACTGCTAAGGTGTCTAGCAACTGTGTTCAACTTATTAACCCAAGGTAAAGTTAGAAACATGTGAGAAGACAGAACACACAAAGTCTTTCATCCAAGAGGGAGGCTGTCTAACACCAACAGGTCAAAGAGAAGGAGGAGTTTCCATTGCTTCAGAAGGGAGGGTAGGATATTGGGCAGTGACTGTTGGAGGTGCCAGTTCAATTTCTTTTGATGCTTCTGTGGTTGGTGACCCACCCTTCTGTTTATCTGGGGTGTCATTATAAGGGTCTGGCTGGACAAGCTTTTTCATGTGGCTTGTGTTGTGTATCTTTCAGTGTTTCACTCCTGATCTTCTATTATAACCGCATAACCTTTCTTTTGAATCACTTTGTATGGTGCTGCTCTTGTTAAGCAGGATCTGATAACCTTCCACTTTGTCACTGTATTCTGCTGAGCACTTCACATCCGCATACTCTTTTTTCCTGAGCTTTGTGTGTGCATCCCTTTGTGGAGAAGTTGTTGCCAGTGGGCTTCACTGATTTCGTCTGTGGGGATGGTTACCCTTGGGAGCTTGTCATTGAGTCATCTGCCCATCAAAAGCTCTCTCTTTGCTTAGTAATTGTTAGATTGTTATACTATTTCTTTTTAAAGGATTTAACATTTGTAACTTTCTTTTGATCAGAGGACAGTTCGTTCCAATTTCTAATAATTGTTCTCACGCTAAAAGTGTGGCCTTCCTCTGTGTCTTTCAGTTTCCCCAGGCCCTCAAAAAACTTTGGGAAACTTAGTCATAAGGGCTGCTTTTTGGTCTACAAATTGGGTATTTTCAAGATTCACATTACAGCGGTTTACATCAATTCCAACTTTAAGTACTGCAAAAAGGATTTCCAAAGTTTTACGACCAAGCAAATTAAAGTGGCAGCATCCCCTGGGACTATAAAAAATTCTGCAACTGTTGACTTGTTGGTTTGTGGCACAGTGACTCTTAGTTTACTGCTCCTCTCAAGCTCTAGGGGTTGAGAGTGTGTTTATGCATACACAATTCTATCATACTTTGCTAAAGTGGTTCCCGCCCGTATGAAAGAGACTGAAAAACATTTTCGGACATAAGATTACAGCTAGTCCCTGGATCTATAATAACACTAGTTAACTTATCATTTATATACAGTTCTAGTACTCTCAAGGCCTTTGCTAGTGGAAGAACTAAATACATAAAACACATCTTCTTTTGCTTCACCACAATCCTGTTACTGGGTGACAGTTTCCGCTTTCTCCTGCTTTCTGCTTCTTCTTAGGATGGTCCTCCATTGGCTGCATTTGGGGTTCATGTCAAGTTCCTTGACAATAAACTGCAAAATGGCTGACTTGGTCACAGCTTTCTTTCCTTTTTGTTTTCAAGGTTTTGTTCTGACAGCGCCCGGTTGCCTGAGGTAACTAGCATTTGGCCGGTGGGAGTGAAAAAAATTTCCCGGTCACCAGGCCCAAAACAATTATCCTAAAAGTTTCACTGACAACATGAGGAAGAAAGTTAAAGATGACCTATTTTGACAAATTAATAGGTTTGGTGCTGCAGCGGTTTCACTGTTTCACGGAAGTTTTCATGGGTTTTATAAACAACATGCGGCGTTCAGCAGAGCAATAAAATCAGTGTGCATACAGAACACTACAATAAATTGAAGCTGTCGTAAGCGACCACCTTGGAAATTCGGAAAAGTGGTCGTAACTAGAGCTGGTTGCTTATGCGAATGAGCCCTTGTAAGTCACCACATGGTAAAACAATAGAGGGTAAACACTTATGAGAGATTCAGAAACTTATTACAGGGTCGTAACCAGGTAAATTTTTTCATCGCTGATCCCAATTTCTAGCTCCAAATTTGGATCCCTGATCCCAAAATGTAGCAAAATTGGATCCCTGATCCCACATAAATTTTATGATCCCATAGAGAGATGTGTTCAAGTTATGTTTCCCCGACGTCAACTATCATTCATTAATAACAACTAGGCGTATTTACCTCAAGTAGATGTTTATTTGTTCATTCTGAATCACGTTCTCATCTTGTCTTCCATGATGTATTAAGGAATTATTTGAATTCTGCTGCTTGCTTCTGAAAAATGATCGGTCCATTACACATTACCTGATTAGCTGACTTTTTCAAAACTTTCTTGGTTGAGAAATGTAAAACTCATATGATGCTATGAGCAATAGAAAACACTCTATAAAACAATGCGATAAAAATAGGCGAGATATAGACGACAATTAAATAAAAAACTAAATCTCCACGTTTCGACGGCTTCAAGTTAACGTCACATAAGAAATGAATAAAAGGACTGAATCTAAATATATGGCAAAAGAATCTATACAAGGCACGACACTTATACCATCGACTTTTCAATTATGAAGAAAGGTGGATCGAAGTTCGATTGTTTGATTTTTGAGACTTTGTTCATTAACGAATAGAATAAAATAAAAATTTCGAAACAGCTTTTTTATATAGCACTTCACATTGTGGTAATATTCCTTTGCTCTTGTTAGGGACGGACCATTGGATAAATATAGTTATGTAGGGGGTCCTTTTAACACGAAATTTCCACAACCTCTTTCCCGGTATGGATTGTTAGCATGAAAGTGATGGTGAAGGGCTTCGAAAAAACTGGACAGAAGTAAAGCACGCTTAAAATACTTTGGTTACTAGAATAAACAGTATCTAAACACTGATCTAAAGATCGAGTATGTGCATTTAGCGTTTTATTTCTCCCACTGCCCACAATATTTTCACTTATTCGCTTGCTTGATATCTGTGATAGTACTCAGTGATATACTTGCTGATACTTGGTGACAATGTGGTGATGTACTCGCCCGCGTGACTTTTACATCCACCGATCAGCTCATCATATAACACAGGGTATCAGATTTACAAAAAATGAATTAGCTTTACCTTGGTGGTTGATGCATTTCATGTCTGTGATGACGATTCGGTGAACGAGATCTTTTCGACTGAGATTTCCGAGATCTGCATAAAGAAAAATGTCCTTAAGATCTGTCAAGGACAATATATCTGATGCATTGTTCTCTATTACTCTATTTACTCCTTCTGACACAGTTGCGCATTGCAATAGTGGAGACCTTGTTACGGTTTTTGAAGCCATAACCGCGTGAGAAATTACAGTCTTTCTATGAGAATCTAATCCCGAATAATTTATCAAGCTGAATAGAGGAATTAGTAGAACACTTAACTGACCGGCTTGAAGATCGCCTTCGGCTTGCTGATCGCTGTGACTGTTCTCTCTGTTCTCTTGCTGGCGACCAGGAATAGGAACGTGATCTGGAAATATAAACAACAGTGGCCTTCAATTTACGCACAGCATTTTACAACCATGATCTGAACAGAAAAATATGGCAAGAGTATGGTAAAAATTGCAAAATAGTAGTTAGATTTTCATAGCGTTGTTCTTGACTTCTTTTCCTTGACTTGCCCATCTTGCTCTTCTTCGAGAGTCCGACACAGCGGAAACCACAAATACGCGAGTAAATGCAATATGACCGGGTTTTATGAGCCTGCGAGACTGAGCACCCCAGCCAAACCCTTGTTTTCAGTAAAACCGCTGGACTTCAACCATGAAAAACGAGTAAGGTAAGCTTTAAAACTGCTGATTACGTGACGGAAGCGCTAGAATATTATAAAGCCAGGTTTAAGCTTTTTCAATAAACCTGAAAAAGAGGTCTTTTTCCTTGCAAAACGAAGTATTTTAGTTTCTCATTAATAATGAAGTATCTGAAAAGCTCGATCCCTGATCCCTCAAAGACACACACAAAAAATGGCTGATCCTGATCCCATGACTTGTGACCCGGGATCCTGGGTCTATGATCTCGATCCTGGGACTCGATCCCATATACCTGGTTACGACCCTGTTATTAATAATTCATAAAAAAGAAAAGATATTAATATTAATGTTTAATGAGTGTCTTTATATCTGAACTTTATAATTTGAACTTTTACAAATACAATACTGCTCTGTACAAGATCTTTATCAACGAACCATTAGTGCAGTTTGCAGTTTCATCTAAGTGTTGGTCTGTATGAATAAGACTCTGAGCGGTCCCTTACGAGAGTGTTAAAACAAAGGAAAAATCTGGTTGGGTAATCTCAAAAGTGATCATGGTCGCTCACAGGAGTGGTCGCTTATGAGCTTTTAAATACAAAGTTTAAGTCACAGTTCAAACAGGGTTTCACCAAGTTGGTTGTAACTAGCTGGTCGCTTACGAGAGTGATAGTAAGGAGAGCGTCTTCTGTATTTGATGTGCTTATTAAATAGTTTAATTGATCAATAAGATGTTCAGAGGCGACCAACTTTGAGGCCTGGGCACCCCAGCTGGAATGCTTGATTGCTCCCTGAAATTTTTCTTAGAGCACAGGCTTGTTGTTTTGTTTGTTTATTTGCTTTTTTTTCATATATTTTCTTTTCTCTATTGGCCTCTTGCACTTTCTTCCTACTTCTGGCCATTAACCTCTGAGGTTCAGCGATTATCATATTTCTAGTTAAAACAATTTTTAGATTCAGCTTTATCGTGGTATCAAGAACTATGAAGGTCTTGGTAAGTGTTATCAGCCAAGGCGAAACACTTACCTGGACCTTGGTTATTCCTCATCCAGTTATTGTTATGATTTTACACAATTCTGTATTTGATTCAAGTTTATTTAATTTTGCAGGGGTGAAGTGTGGGGTGGGGTGGGGTGGGTGAGTTAACTAGTCAAGGTCCTTGAAAGTAATGCCAGAAGATACATCACCCAAACCTCTAGGGAAGTTCTTAATCTCCCTATCATGGCCTATACAGAAAGGCTCCGCCCAAAAGGGGTACCTTTTTCGAGCTTCAGGTATACAAAAGGGTAGTTACATTGTATTTCAATAGTTGAAGTATAAAAGAGGGTAGGGAAATCCGTCATTTCAGTTTGTAAAAAGACTGAAAAGGGCTGGTGGAAGCAATTTCCTGGTTTGATGATTTATTTATTTACTGCAGTTAAATAAATAAAGATGTTTAATCACCACATTCTCACATTAAAAATGAATTACAATGCGCTTACTATATGCAGAAAAATTGCAAAAACTGGAGTGAAACTGGGACTGGAGTTTACAATATACATGTAATAATTAAAAAATAGTAAAACCTAGTAAAGTAATTACAAGAATATGGTTCAATCATAGTTACTACAAGAGTTATACTAAGAATAACATTTTACTTTTAAAAGATGTTGCTTTGGCCATTAGGATAGTACTAAGGAAAAAGCTTTGCCCGAAGTGATCAGTTTTACGTTTCAAAGACGTCCAAGAGTTAGAATTTCTAAGAGAATAGTCATGGGCAATAGTCCTGATACTGAGTTCATTGTCCCTGTCCTCAAGTCTAGCGATTTCAGCAAGTTGTAAGGCTTCGTAGTATGAAGACCAGAATTATATTATCTTTAAAGTATGCATTTGGACCCTCTTCATTTCACTAGACAGAGAGGCAGGAAGGGGTCACACTGCAAAGTTCTAAATGAAGTATATGTGAAAGTGGTCAGTGGAAGGCGTATGAAAGGGGTACCTTTTCTGTCAAAAATGGTACATAAAAGGGTAAGCTAAGGGGTTGGGGCCTCCTTATATAAAACTTGTATTTTTTTTCTTGTATTTTGGGGTAATTTTCATGGGGTGTTTATTAGGCAAGGGGCATTTATTAGTGAGGCATTTAAATAAAAATTTCACAAAGGCATTTATTTGAGAGAGTGTGTTTATTAGTTTAGTACTGCTATCTTAATGGCCTAGGCTGGGTTTAATACTCTCCTGGTGAACTTTAGCAGGATCAGGTTACAGTAATGTTTCATAAACACGTAATGTCAGATCCTGAGGGAAACAGTTTTGTTTTCCAGAGAGTCCTGATGTTTCCCAAGACGAATTCTCGGGAAACATCAGGACTCAAGGGATAACAAAACTAACTGGTTTCCTGAGGGACCTGACATGTTGTGTTTTGTTAGATTTCTAGACTTTCACTTCAACAGCGACAAAAGAATAACCAAAGCGAATCAAAACAGTTGCCTTGAGTCTTATAAGAAACCCCTGGATGAATTATTTACAAAGTACTCTCCTTATATTATATGCATCTTTTTCCTCCACTAGCTGCTGTTTCTCTACAGGGATAACTTTGAAAATTGTTGCTTTTTAGCTTGAGGCTTCATGTTTGTCTTGTGGACTCTTGTTGTGTTCATCCCCAAAAGGGAAAACTGGCAGTGTTTTTCCCACCTTCTGTCACACCACTCTCCACGATGCTTTGATGATGTGCTGTAACATACCCCAAACAGGGTACAATTGCTCAAATGTATCACGATTAGGATACATTTGATTTTAGTCAAGGCTATATATGTGACCAAGAATTAACCAATGGCAGTCGCTGTTTAGTTGAGTGAAAGTCTAGGAATATGACACAATTACACCTAACTATGTCTCTATTTTGCTGTAAAATCTTAAGAACAAAGCAAAAAGGCAAGCATTGTTAGCCATGAGTTTATGTGGATTCCAGTGTAAGGGAAAACAGAAACTGTGTCTTCTGTTTTGCCTCAGATTTTAGAGCATTAGAGAGGCTGTTTGCAATTGCTTGTCCATAGCTTCAAAATGGAAACTAAGGACCAGTTGTTTAAAATGGAGGTAATCAGTCTTTTACAAAATCAGGGTCTAATCCATTTTTCTTTGCCCAATCCTATTATCTATTCACTGCTTGCAGTAAACAGGTTCCTGAATTAAAGCATATAAAAACCATTAAATAGAAAAACACTTATCTTCTTAAAGTAACGCACATAGAAAGAGATGTAGGGGTCCAGTGATTTCTAAAGCCATTGCAACAGTTAAGCCTGGTTCTAGTATATTGCTGACCCACCTGCGACATAGCCACTGGCACTGCCTGAACCTGTGCCACCTGAAACAACGGCCATTACAGATTTTTACTGCTGGCATACCTGCGAAGTTGAACTCAAGTCAACTTTGCAGGCATGCTGATGGTAAATGCTAGGAAAGCCAATGTTGCTGGCAACTTCTGTTCTCATGCAGCAGGTAGGTTGGTGACATGGATGAGAACCAGGCTTTAGACTTTGTTTAAATTACCAACCCTTATTGTTTGCAATATACATAATAGCGCACACTTTGGTGACACCTGTCATTTATTAATCTTTATTATTATTATTATTCTTTTATTACTATTATTTTACCAGATAAAGGATTATCTTCTCTCCTGAAAAGTCAAACAGACTTGGAACTTCTATTTGTGAAATGGAACTCGTCCCACACCAACTTAACTGACAAGTGCTTGACTACACTACATTCTTCAAAACTAAAATCTGTGACACTGGTAGCTCTTGACCAGCTAACAAACAATGGCCTAATTACCCTGGCCAAGAACTGTCCCAATATTTGTGAACTTATGGTCCCACGATGCAACCAACTCACTGATGGTTGCTTTCAAGCTGTTACTACACTTTTGAAGGGAGTGCTGGTAAGTGTTATTATTTTAATAACTGATATTCAATTGAGGGTGACCCTACACTGTATGTGAAAAGGGAATGACTTATGATTTGGGCTGTGTGATTGACATGTGACTTCAAACACCCTCCTGTAGTTATATTTTGGCCACTTGTTTTCACTTATTTTTTTATGAAGACAAAGTCAAAATTAGCATGTGGGCAGGCTCTATTGTGGATGATAATAGAGAGTTTAAGATACCACGACAGCAACAGCGGTGAAAATGTTGCCTAAAAAGTGAATTTGCGTTCTTCCAATCTCTTATCGTGATTATTCCAATTCGCTTACTTTGTCAAATGCAAGCGAGCTATTCTGAAGGTGAATTCCTTCCAATCATATCCAAGTTCAGAAAGAGAAAGAAAATTCTGTCGTCGTTCCTTCACGTCAGGTCCGTAAAACGTGAAACTAGGCATTTTCATCATCGTAGTCGTGCAAAGACAGAGAAGAAAATTAATGTACAAAAAAGCATGCTGCATGTGCAGAGTTGTTGTTTTGCCTATTCAACCTATTACTTTTTTTGAGGTTCTGGTTGCCGTTGCTGTTGTGGCATCTTAAACTCCCTAATATGAAGAAGAGAAAGTGAGTAAACACGAGTAGAGAGGGAGAGAGGAATGAGAAGGGAAGCAAAGAAAGGGCCTGGGTAGGAGGCATTCAAGGGAAGTTTGAGTAGAGATGTGCGCCTGGGATCCCAGACTCGCGGGGCCTTCAATCACTAAACCTGTTTAAGACAAAAATTGTACATTCTTTCATCCAGTTTAAGACAAGAGACCTTATTTCATGATCCTGATTAACGTTTTTTTGCATAAATAATTAAAAAAATAATAATAAAAAAATAACTATTTACTTGTATGGTAACCACAGATGTAGAGTTGTCATTACCAACCTTCACACTCTTGTTATCTAAGTGTTTCCAATTTTAAAAGACATCCTGTTGATGATGCTAAATACGTACCGGTAGTTAAATTACTCTGTTAAAGACCCTCAGATCATACCCTGTTGAGCTCTGTTGAGTGGCCCATAACTGTTTAGTCCAAAAAAGGGAGTGTCCCCTTAGGAGAGGGAGTTGCTGTAGACAAAACCTTATTAGCATTATTGAAACTGCATGGTGAGACTGATTCAATATGCTAAACACAGTTTGATAGGTTGTGAGTCGTTGCTGCTGAATTGATTGGGATGTTATTAATTAACCCGCTCGGCTGGGAACTTTGCCGAAAAAGCGTTTTAAACATAGTAGAAACGTTTTTTGGTTACTGTCTGGCTATAAAGAGCTAAAACTTACCACAAAGCCATTGACAGACTAAAGCGGCCTTCTGATCCACATGCAAAATATTAGGGTCTGAAGTCCAGGCAAGAAAGGAAAATTTTGAGATTTGCTTTCTCTCCTCCCCTCTTTTATCGCTTTTCTTGCGTTCCTTTTTTTTCCCTTGCTGGGCATTTAGTTGGCCTCATTTTGGTGGGAAACGTTTTTCGGAAAGCCTCTAGGATCTTAGGATTAGGTGAAAAGGAAGGTAGGTGGGTAGTGGAACAAGATTTTAATGGGAATTTGTAGGTCGATGTTACATGTTTTTTGCCTATTTCTCCGACCCCCATGACTGAGTTGTGTTCATTCTGGAATGGTTTGAAAGATGTCTTCACCCTGCACAAGTCAGCTGACAGAGTGTGGGTTAAAACTGAGCGATAGGAGGGACGTGGATCTGTACGTTCAGTCACGGGTGGTTCAGGGGCTAATGGGTTAAGACTTGTTGCAGACCTGCCAACCCCTAACAAAGGAAAATCTGGAGTCTCATGAAAAAAAATTGGGAGATTGTTCAAAAAGTAGTGACATTTTATTTTTTCCCTATCAAGATTAAACGAAACCTTTTTCCACTGGGGGAATTGAGTGTTTCTCTAAATCTTAATGGTCAACTTCTGTATTAGTATTAAGCAGAGGCCTTAACGATGAACAAAAGCACAAATCCATAGCTCTATCTTTGATCACTTTAGTTTATGGCTTAAGCATTCCTCATTAAACTTCCATCTTTATGCAAAAAGGTATCATTTCATTTCGGAATGATTTTTCACCAAAAACCGTGGGATTGGTAGTCTTGTCATGAGACCGTAAGAAAAAACAAAAAATCGAATACTCAGGGTAGAGTCGTGACAGTTGGCAGGTTTGTCGTTGTAGCTTTAATGGTCAAATGTGGCACGGACAATACATATATAAGATTTTACATTTATGAGGTTAACCTTAAGATTTTGATTATTTCCATTTCAACATGGATAATGTAAAAGAAGACTAAAATTGATTTTTGAAATTAGTAGGTTTAAGTCAGAAAATTCCTTTACTCAAATTCTATATTTTATTTTATATTTTCTTTGCTTATAGTTCACGATTAGCAAGCTACCAGATTTCGCCAAATTAGAATTGCCTATAAAAGACTCCCACATTGTTCCCTAATTTCGGAATGCTCAACACTTGTGTGTGTATCGAGATCACTGAGATTGAAAGGCTTTTTGACTGTGTATACTCTCATGATAGAGGTTTTAATAGTAAAGGGATTAAGCATTTCTTGAGGCAGATGAAGTTTGCTATTTTGCTTTATATCACATCAGACTTTAGTGCGCGGTAACAATAATGCATGCAAGTCTTTTTTAGAAAAACTGTGTTAGCCACCTTAATAAGCAAATTTAATACCTTTGCCAGGAAGTATTGGATCTGTCTGGAGTTCATCTGTTGACTGATCTGAGCTTAGTAGCCATTGGCTCGGGAAGCTGTCCTAATCTTAGAGAGTAAGTGATTAAAGTTTTAATATTAGCCTACTCCTAAGGATGTTTATAGATGATGATCTGTGCATAATAATGTGAATAACCAACAAAAATACAATGAGCTCTTATTGCATGAGCAAGCAATTGGAGACTTGCTGAGATTAAAGGTCAAACACTTTTTCGTTTGTGGAGAGTTTATATCTAAATTTGCATATACTTGCTTCCATAGCTACACAGGCATAAATAAGGTACCTACCCAGCATTGCTCAATGTACCCAAGGCCCCTTTGGTGTTTGCTTCCCCTGGCTTAACCTTGAGTGTAAATTCCTGGGTAGAGTATTACTAAATAGGCATGCAGCTATTATGCAGCTGTGAAATGCTGGTATGTTATTTAAAATTTGCATTTAAGTGCAGTTGTTTCAGGATACAGTGGCCATTTCTATTACTTCAGGACTGAACTTTGCGGCAAAAATTGACAGCACATTTTGATTGTAATTTCAGCAAAAAAATGTTTAAAGGAACCTGCTTGCTTCAGTTTAAGGATCTGGTGTGTTTTGGAATACTCGTTAACGTAAATCAAAAATTAAATATAGCAAGAATAGCAAATTTAAATCAGCAAAAAAATTGATTCAAATGGTGAAAAAGCAAAGACAACCCTTGAGAAATCGCAAAAGTAACAAAACAAGGAATATGGTAACGTTTGTTCTTGTCAACATCAATCGCAGATACAGCGAAAGTAACAATATCAGCAAATGAAAGGTCTTTAATCAATCAGGTAAGGCAAAGAAGGCCCTTGAAAAGTTCGCGAGTTTAGCGATAATCGCAAAAGAAACAAAGATTTTCTTATCTATGCGAATACTTCAGTGTCATAGATTATCATGTCAGAAATTTGACGAAGGGGACGTTTTATTTTCAGCACAACAATTGACACAACCGTCATGTATGTGTGCGGCTTCGTTTTATTATCTATGGAAATCAGGGATAAGTCTTGCTGCATTAGTTTTCTGCTCCACTGCGTATCAGTTAGTAATTTAAAACAACAATTACCATTACAGCAGGAACAATATGGCGGGATGATGGCAAAATACAACATAAGAGATATCAGAGATTACACATCACGAGTAACTGGTTTAAGATAAACACAACAGTCAAGATGGCTGACCTGTTGAAAAGCACCTAATTTACCGTGTATTGCTGGTCAGGTGATACACAAATAATGACGCGCTAGGGTGGTCTAAGTATTTTTTCTGTTACATCCTTTTCTTTTTTAAAATAAGAAAACTGAAAAGAAGAAAAATAAAATTAAATAAAATCTATGCTTAAAAAAATGAAAAATTATGATGCCTCAGTCCTTGGATTTAAATGAGAACAAAAGCTGAAAAGGTTCTTAGTCCCTAATTTGGCCTAAAGGTCCAATCGCCACTTCGGGTAATATAGGGCTCTGAACTGTCCGCCTTTGTAGTTCACGGTCATGGTGTTGTTCCTGTGGTGAAATTACAGGCGACACTGGTGGAACTGGAGCATGGTCAGGCTCGTCCTTGGGTAGATTCTGATGTGCACTTCTAACAAGAGACTGTTCTGCATTTAAACTTCATGTCCTGGAGATGGGCGAACTTGTAGCTGTGTCTGTTGCGGCGATTCTTTCTCCTATTTTCTACCTGAATCAAATAGGATCCTGTTGTGTGATGATGTCTGACTACCGTCTCTGGCTTCCACCCTCTGGAATCGGTCCAGGGCTGCATTCACACCTTGGTTCTGGGCTGTAGTTCCTTCACTTTGCTGCTTGCATGTCGGTCATGGTGCTTCTTCTGATCCTTTTTGGTCTTCTTCAGGTACATGGAGACATCCTTTTGCGTGACACTAGTAGGTTGGAACAAGCTGTCTATCATCGGTAAATCATTTCTCAGGCGACGTCCCATGAGCCATTGTGTTGGCGGCAGTTCAATGCCTGGTAGTGGTGTCGTCCGATAGTCAAGCAAGGCCAGATTTTTGTCCTCCTTGTTCTTTCGCCATAGATTTTTAACAGTCTGAATGACCCTCTTCGGTTCTCCTTTAACCTTTGCGTATGCTGGAAACCGTGCTCTTTCGCAAATTCTTGAAATTTGCTGCTTCTGAATTGGGGGGCCATTATCTGAGACCGCTTCTACTGGTATCCCATGGACTCCAAATTGCCTCTTCAGCTCTTCATTTTGGTAACTTCTGGGAACTTGCTGCGATAGCACACAGAGAGTAAATAGTGTTCCTCTTGAAATTCAAGCAGGTGAGTTCCTAGGGTTTCAGAGGCTCCGTAGGCTGTTTCTCGGCAAAATCTGCAGACACGCTACAATTGGTGACCGTTTGCGCCACATCTAGACATTCCAGGCCAAAACAGCACCTCTCTAGCTCTTTGTCTGCATTCCTAGGTGACTCTTGTGGATCTGGCCAAGTATTTCAGGTCTTAAAACCTTTGGGACAGTCAACGTCTTCCTTTGAAGAAGAGTCTACCTGCTGTTGTGGCTTCATCATGGAATGTACAGTCGGGTCTTGACTCCATAGCAACTTGCTACTTTGTGTCTGGCCATCAAATTCTCACCATTGTTAGGACTGCTTGTAGCTCTGTTTCTACTTTGGTCTCTTTCTAGAACTCTTCCTACTCTTACCGTGTTGATTTCCTGGAATTCTTCAACTTGAGTTTCCTCTACCTCGATAGTTTCGTGAAGTCACCAAGGGGGTGACTCATCTCCACTGTCTCCTGAGTCATCTGAACTAACTTGTGAAACATCCTCTTCTTTTAGTTGATGCACTTGTTCTGATCTACAGAGCTTGGAATAATGATTCATCTTTTTGCAGAAAGTGCACAGTTGTCCCATTGTTGGACGTTTCTAGTGGGTTTTGTCGTAGCCTTACCTCCTGTGCTTGTTTTTCTTGTCTTGTCTTTCCTTTCCTTCCGAAGCTTTCTTTTCAGAGTCTTCCTTGTTTGTGCAATTATTTGAACGCTTATGACGACTCCGAGTTTCGCGTTTTCTTTGCTTACAACATCCACAGTCCGGTTTCGTCTTTTAGCAAGCTTCTTTAGACTGTTTAGATTTGTTTCATGGTTGCGACCAATTTCTGCAGCTCTCGCGAATCAACTCATCGTTTAAATTGAGGCACTTTGCACGAACTTTAGTTGCAACTGAACACAGTTGCGTCACGAACCATTCTTTCCTCTTGTTCTTGGTAAAAACGGACCTTCACGAGGATCTTCTTGATCCGTAAACCACATTATAAATGGTGTTGACTTTGTTCGGAAAATCTAGGGCCTGGAAGTATTGCCAACTCAAAAGCTTGTATGTTATGATGTCTTGGCTTTTTTCTCGAGTATCCTGGTGAATCAAGCCATGTCTGTTACACAACGCAAGTTGCAACGTGACAATTCTCCCCTGACCACAGCGAGTTTTCACCTCCACAGATCCGTGAACTTCTTTCTCACCAACAACTACTTTGTTTATGATGGCCAGTTCCATAAACAGAAACACGGTGCAGCTATGGAGGAAGACGATCTTAGATCAGTTAGAAACCCACCCTCATTATGGTACAGATAAGTGGATGATGCTTTCTCCGAACTACATCGCTGTGATGTGGAAGAGTTTTCCCAACATCTCAACCCGCGAGATCCGATTCACATCGGACCCAGGGGAAGACGGAAAACTACACTTCCTTGACACTTGCATCAAAATTGAAGAGGTTGGCTCTACCAGAATCACAGTATACAGGAAACCAACTCATACGGACCATGCACTCACTATCGACTGATAAAGGCTATTAAGCGATTTAGCTGAAATATCTCGTAGCAAATATTTTATACGTTCCAGTCTATTTCTTCTCATTGATGTCGATGGAACACGAAATTAACGTTTTCTCTTCAAAAATTACTAGGGTCATTGAAATGTGTATACCTCGTTCTTTAGGCAATAAATACCCTCTGGACCTATCAAGTCAGAAATGGAGAGGAGGGTAGTTATATTTGGCACAAGAATTGACCAAACCATTATGCCTGCTTCGTTCTTTTAGCTATGGATGCGTGGTCTGTAATTTACCATGAACAACAATGACCAGAATCAATGATACACCCTGGAAGGGCTTTTTTTCCCTTACTTCTTAATAACACTGAGCTATTACTAAATTTGTTATTGTTATTAATTTTGCGATATTTGCAGGCGTCTGACATATTTTCTTGTGAATAATTGTTTGTTGATAAAAAATTGCAATAAAACAAGCAAATTTTTGTTGCAGAGTTCAATCCTGAACGTTCTTTTCTGTTACCTGTGTGCGATATTTATGTGCAAAATGGGTCTTAATAGCACACCTCACCTTAAAATGCTGTGCCCCACTGTTGTTATGTTAACAGCAATTTTTCTAAGTTAATATCCAATTTTGCCCATATTCAAGCGTGGTTAGGGTGCTTATCTTGCATTAGTCAGAACTGGTTAGCCAGACTAGTCCAGTCCATACATATAGAGAATTCCACTATTAATCAGAAGTGTCTATAAATCAGATCACTTATTTTTTCAATGTAGCAGTCAGCGATGGATTTCCTTACAGTGTCCTTGATAAAGGAGGTTTTTTCAAAACTTTAGATCAACACAACCATAGAACTAGGTGGTGTGTTTTAAGGGTCCATTTGAGCTCTGATCTGTTGTACTATTTGTTTTCTCACTGCAGGCTTTATCTTAATGGATGCACCATGATTTCTGGTGTAGGAATACAGCAGGTACTAAAATCAACAGTTCAACTAATTAAGTCAGCAAATGGTTAATTCTTGATATCTTGAGCATAAGAATTGTTCCACTTTCTGAGAAAAAAAAAAACAAACATATTTACCAACTTGCTCAAACATAAATATTTTGAAAACTCAGCGCTATTCGATCTCATACATATACTGTAATTCGTAATGTTTGCTCTCATTCCTTTTTTTACATGATTGAAAGAAATACTTCGTTAAATAAAGAGTTTTGTACGTTTGGATAGCAAATGTCGATATGATGTAAGTAAGAGGAGTGAAGTTAGCTTACCTTTACTCCTAACGTGGTCTTTTGCATTTTCTGTGGCATTTCAGTCCCTTGCTGCCCCAACAACAAGTAAAGGAAAAAAAAAACGATAAATGCAAATCCAATGGCCGCCGCAGCTGAATGCTGTCTGAATGTTTTTCCATTTTCTCTCATGCACTTCCATACTTCCTAAGTCATCCAGCCTCTAAGCCAGGTACAATGTAGTTTTGAAGATTGGTGGAAAAATAACAGTGAAAAAGCTTGCGCCTCTAATGGCCTTAACTAACACAGTGAATTTCCACATGCGCCTTTAAATCGATATTGTCATAGAATGTCGAAAAAGATGTGGATCTTTATAATAAAAGCTATATTAAACTCAAATTAGTTACAAATGACCCTTGCCTTGGCCAATGGCATGTAGTATAAACGCGTGAATGTGTGACTGTATTCTGCTGTCATCTGCAATGTGTCAAGATATTTTCAAATTTTCGATGCTAGGCGAAAGGCAACTTAAAGAAAAACAAAGCGTCAGTGATCACAAAATTATCCCCTGCATAGCTAGCTTGAAAGCCTTTTTTTATTCATTTTCTTGGTTGAGCCCTCTAAGAAAGTGTTCTATAGGTGGTTTTCAGGTAACGTCATCGCCGCCATGCTGGTGGACGGTAAACAAAAGATCGCTAATTAGCTCGCTTTGTTTGTCCACCAGCATTTGTTCATTTCATCATTGTTATTTGTGTCTCCCGAGATTGCATGAAAACCACCTATTGGCAAGTGTCAATACTACAATTACTAAATTCAAATTTCGTATCTTGATCGACCACTTTTCCAAGATACTATGATGATGTTGATCTTAAGGCAAATGTAAAAATTTGAAGCGTCACCCTAGGTTATTAGACACAAGCGAAGTTGTCAAGTTTTGGTACTGATCGTTGAAAACTACCTGGCTTTTAGTTTTCCGAGGCGAGATGACACGAGGTGCAGGGAAGCAGAAGAAAAGGGACAATATTCCGAAGGCATCAGCGGCAGTTGACCATTAGATTTACATCTGCCTGGTTGTTTTTTCCTTTTTCGTTAAACTACTAACAGTAAAACGGGCAACAAAAACGTGCAACTTAATTTGCAACATTGCTGTGGAACGATTTGAAGTGTTGTGTTGTTGAGTGCGTTGTGCCACCCACATTCAAACCTGTCATGCAACAAGTAGTCACGCCATACACGAGAGTTGCGTCACTGGTCGCCAGTAAAACTCGCAACTTGCAGATTTTGTTGCAAAAAGTAGAACTGCGCCTTTACTTTCTGCAGCAACTTTACACAACCTGCAACAACCTTATTGCTGCAATACAGGTTGATTTGTGGGTGGTAAAACGCGTAACATAGCTATTCAACTCTTTTTGCTGCAATGTTGCAAAACAATTTTTACGGTTTTGTTTCTCATTTTACCATTCCTTTAGGGCTGCCAGCAGCTCAACGCAACACGCAATAGACCACACTAAGAGTATAAAGTCCCATTCATACCAAGGCTTAAACGTGTTTTGACGCTGTTGTGTTTAGTTAAACAGGGTTTCATTTTCTTGGTGTGATTGTCAGTTTTCTGTGTCAGTTTATTTATTTGCCAGAAAAAAATAAAGTCATTCAATACGTTGCATACATGAAAAAAGTATTGGTTGAAGGTTAAAGGTGATGTAAATTACATAAGTTAAAGAATTAGAAATTTTTTTCTGGCAAGGAATCTGAAATTGAAACTGGGGGGCTTATTTCATGTTCAAATATAAGTCAGGATAAAAAGCAAACAAAACAAAATCCTCCAGACGGAAATATGCAGCAAACTATAATAAATTTCTGACAGTCTTTGGTTAGAGGACCAAACCTCCATTGTGGTTTTTCTTTGATCTTTTTCACCAACACTGCATATATTGAACCACATTTACCCCTCTAGCAACCCTCACCCCTCCCATGACTATTTAGCATTTTCCTTTTCAAGACAGACTGTTTTTGAAAAAAAAAACAGCCTCTTGCTAATTGGAGATCACAGTAGAGAATTAAATTGCACTTAAGGATGTACATAATGAATGATTGTGCTTCAGGTGACGGAAGGTTGTCCTTCTTTGTCAAGTCTTGATATTGGCTACTGCTACAGAATTTTAAACAAAGGCACCTCATTTGTTGGAGCAAGTGCTTTTCCCAAAACCTTGACAGAATTAACATTACACGGAGTGCAGATGTCTGAAGACTTACTCATTGAAGTGCTGAATCAGCTACCTTATGTCAAAGTTTTGACGCTGTGCGGCCTGAGGTCTGTAGATGATGATACATTAAATCAAGTGAGTGCATCTATCTCACTTTAAGTTTATAATTATTTACTATGGTGTACTATGGTGTACTCTTGTGCATCATTAAAATTTCCCTTATTGTTTTTGTACGTACTTTGTCTGAATATATCAGCTTAAAACCTCTAGGTTGTTGTTTGGACCAGGAACTTTAAGGGTCTTTATGTGCAATTCTTATGATATAACCATTTTATGAATCACAAATGCAAAGTAGGATATTAATGGTGGCTGCGTTATGATACAGGTGCATTGAGCTATTTGTCTTAACGTTTTTTGGTTTTAACGTGATGGCTACAAAAATTTAGAAAAAAATATCATGCAGCAATAGTAAATAATCCTATTTCACTGGTGATGAACCTTTTTTACGAAATTAGGGCTTAAGTGGACCGTACTGTTCAAAGGAAATCGCGTGTAGTAAAACATTTGGCAGACTTTTTTTTTTACTGAAATTTATTATCGGCTATTATTGCTATAATACGTTTGCCATGCAAATTTCACCGAAATCTTTGGAGCAGAAGTCCATAGCCAGTAAGACCTTCGAAATTCAACTTTGAAATCGTTTTGAAATTTAAAAAACGAATTGCTCTGAGGAAGCTGAACGAGCCACCAGTTCCATTTTTTAGGACAAGTAATTCAAATCTTTGAAAAAAATCTTTTAAGAAAAAGGTGATTGCCTATCGTGCTATTCTTGGAGAGGTACTTTTTAGTTATGGAAGCACCGTAAATTGCTCCAAACCTTGCTCTGAAGTTGAATGACTTGTTCCTCGAATGATTCCTTGTTCTTGGAATATTCCTTAGCGGTTTTCGCTGAAACTCCTGCTACATACATTTTAGAGTATTACAATGCATTTTCATCGGCTTTAGTACGTCTAAAACTGAAGAGTACTTTTTAAAGAATAGCCTGATTGGTAATAAGCTGTGTTTTAAGAATAAGCAAACGTTAGAAATACTTCCCGAAATTTCGGACTGGTAGAAAGCAATCAAAACAAATCTTAAATGAATAAATGAACAAAGAATAAGCAAACAATAGAACTAGTTCCCGAAATTTCGGACTGGTAAAAAGCACTCAAACCAAATCTTAAGAGCAAATGTCTGTAAAAATCGAGCAAAATCGAAATTTCGCGGCCAAAGTCAAAAAATCGTTTTCGCTCATATCTTGTCCCTAGTTAGGTATTAGTAACTAACTAAACGTGGTGTAGTTTGTTTTTCAAAAGGCCTCCTCGATTTGGAGAAAATCGACAAAATCAATTTTTCTTAGTCGACAACTTGAAACAAGCAAAATTTGACGTAAAATCAGGCGTCCTCAAAACTTCCTTCGCACGCAAACAAGAAGAAAGCGGGGTAAAATATTCCGCGATAAATCAATTTATAAAGGGTTCTACTTCTGGTTTGGAAGATAAACAATTTTATTTTAGTTTGGATTCTTTTTCAACTAAACGAAATTTAGATTTAGGCTGAAAGTTGCGTTTTATATTTTAGGCATGCACTATACCCTGGTTTAAGCTGAAACTCATGTTACCGTACCGTATTTATTCGAATAAGCGCCCAACCTCGAATTAGCGCCCACCTCGAATAAGCGCCCATCCTAAAGGCAGAAAAAGTTAATAAGCGCCCAGCCTCGAATAAGCGCCCACCCCCTCCTCCTCCCAATCAAACTCAAATAAGCGCTCACCCCCACCCCATCCACTTGAGTGAATAAATTTTAATAAGAGACTTTCCCGAGGACGGAGTTTTCTTCAGATGTATTCTACAGAAACCTTGCTTTGTTACTTCCTCAGTGTTTGTTATTAGCATTTATTGTTTTGTTGCAAAATAAACATACTTCACTTGCTGAAAATGGTGAAAATTTAATAAGCGCCCAGCCTCGAATAAGCGCCCAGCCTCGAATAAGCGCCCACCTCGAATAAGCGCCCCCTCTCAAGGTCCTAAAATTTAATAAGCGCCCAGGGCGGTTAATCGAATAAATACTAAATTTGTACGTCACACGAACCTTCTGAAGTTGAATAGATTTTACTTGAAATATGAGACTTTTAAAGAACGTCGGATGGTTGTTGCTCGACAGGTCACGATAGCTGGGCTCCCCAAAAGATACTTAACTCACAATTGCATTTGTATTAAAGAAATGTGTGCTGGAACTTTGTTACCTAAATGAGTTTCTCGTTCTGGTTAACTGTTATCTTGTTTTCTGCTGGTTTGCGCCGTGTTCCCAAGCTAATCGATCGATGATCCAAAAATTCGAGGAAACGTGGTGCGTGAAATTAAGCTCATACAGAACATTTCATGGTATTACTGACCTTTCTTTTCGATCAAACTTTTACATCCATTGCCATTTCAAAATTCTAGGTCTCACAAGAACTGCGATTTTGATAGTGAAACTATCGGGCTGCCGATACACCTTTGGTCGTAATGAATCAGTCAGTTGTATCTGTCAGTTCAGGCTGCGCCCAGCAACCCTCCCCCCCACCCCCGGGCTACTCCGGTCAGTCCCGAGGGTGGAGCATTTTTCAAATTTTTTTGCTGCCCGGGGTCCGGGCATTTGCCAACCCCGGGGCCATTCCCGAGCTTTTGACACGCACGCGGTTTCCTATCAGAATATAACTACACAGAGGATTTTACTGGGAAAGAAAGCAGGTTGGCTCATCTGTCAAGGAGAGGAAAAAATTGATGAGGGTTGTAAAGGCGTGTTCTTGATTTTATACGTGCATTTCTTCACTGCTTATCAAGTCAGAATTATATAGCGAAATCGGGAGCTATCAACGTGAATCAACGTTTTTCGGTTATCGAATCAAATTTCTGTTGATATTATTTGAAAAACATCCTTTCGTATTTATAAAACTATTCATAACATATAACTTTACAGTGTTTTATTAATTTTAATGTCAATAATTTTACATCAGTACTAAAATTATAAACTGGTCCATGTCGTCGCGGCGTGAAGTCTTTATTAGAATCCAAGCGCTATTACAAAGGAAGACGTTTATTGAAACAAAAAATCACAAATTAAAATGCTTAAAACGGCATTATTCGACTGTGCGATCAATGAAAAATATTGCAGTGTTGACGGAGGACGGGGCATTTGCCCTCTTTTTTCGTCCCCACCCCGGGGGATTTGACAGTTCAAGAGTCCCCACCCCCAGGAATTTGTCAGCCAAGGAAAAAAAAAAGGCTAATGCCTGGGGTTTAACCCGGGGGGGAGGGGGGGTTGGGGTTGGGCGCAGCTGGAATTGACTGCATAAAAATCTGGTCAAAAGTGTTGCGTGACAGGATTTGCCGGCCTTCCAATCGAACCATTTGAGCGATGCATCTATCCTGGGACTTTCTTTATTGTCCTTGCCAAAAGTAGCATATTATGCTACTAACAATCCAAATCATGTCTTTTCCCCTAAGTTTTCTTAGGAGAAAAGTATGCTTTCTAAGTATGCTTTCATACAATACTAAATAAGTCCAAAAATATCGTTTTTCACGTCAACTCCCCCCGTTGTCTTGTATTTGCCTTTTATTTACTTTTGGCTTCAAGTGCTTCAATCTCTAGCTATTTCACCGCGTTGTATATCAGACCGCAGTCTTTCCTCTCGCATATGCAAGTTCCATTGTTTTGGATTACAGTTTCCTTAAAGATTCTGCAATTATCTTTCAGTATATTTTTTTCTAATTTGATCATGGTTCGTCAAACTCTTGTTTCTGTTTGTATACAAAGGAACTCCTCCATGCGACCATCCCGTTTATACGACCACCTCTTTATTAATACCATAGTCTTTCGACGCAGACGTGATAATCTCCGAGTCATTTTACTTTTTTGAAGACCTCTTTAATGCGACCACCTCGCTATCATGGCCAGGAGTGTATGGCCCAAAGGTTGTCGCATCAACGGGGTTCCATTGTGTTTTTTAATTTCAGTGTTCCACCTTATATTACAAAAACAAAAAGATATGCGTCAGCTGGATTATGGCAATTAATGTAAAGAACTAAAATTAAGGATCCGCTTATATGAAGAAAATTTGTCTCGAGCAGAAGGATCAACCGCCTACCCGAGCTACCCTGGATGAGCCAAACTTAAATTACAAAAAGTTGGCTCAGCTAGAAGGTTGACCCACGTTATCCAGTCACCCTTTTGTAATGGTAGGGTCAGCCTCCTAGCTGGGCCAACTTTTCTCCATAAACACGTTGCGCGCTTTCCATTCAACAAAAATCCTTTTTGAAATTTCGGAAAATCCACGTGCCCAGTGGAACGGTACATTGCGGTTGCACAGACCAAACCAAAGCCACCGCGAGTTTGGTTATCGTTTGGTTATCGTGCTTGTAAGCAGGATACAGCATCGAAGCTGCCTTTTGACAAACAAACTACACCACGTTTAGTTAGTTACCGTACCTATCTATAAACACGATATGAGCGAACTTTTATTTTTTTACCGTGACCGCCGGTTGCTCGATGTTTACAGACATTTATTCTTAAATAAATGACTAAACAAATCAATTATATAAAATAACATATTATAGCAATCTCTTTTTACGATGTTAAGTGGTGTAATTTTCCAAAAAGAAATTCAGGAGTCTCTCTGTAGGCAAAGGCCTCAGCTTCCTTGCCTTTTTGTTGAAGGCAAGAATAAGATTGCCAAAGTCATCATCATAGATTTGGAAATTTAAGAGAAAGAAACAAGAGTTTTTCAATAATGTGTTTTCTTGTGAGAGAAAGGTCAACAGCAAAGAGAGTCTTCTGTTGGTTGCATGATGCAGAATCAATTCCTTGCAGGGTGGCAACTATTGACAGCACGTTCATAAAACCATTTTCTCAAGATTGTTTCAAGAACCGTTCTGATTGTTACTTGTACTAATTCTGCATACTTCCTACAGTTTTGTTTCTGACAGTACAAGTTGTTCTTTAATTTGTACAGATTTGTTTGGCTGTAGGCCGGACCTTGACGTCTTTGGATCTGAGTGGTTGTACAGTCTTAACAGATGCAGGTCTTTCGGCCATCAGCAAACATTGTCAAGTCATTGAATCTCTTAAAGTTTCTTTCTGCCCAAACATTACTGGCCAAAAACTGACACCATTGTTCAATTGCCCCAAAAGAGGTCCAGATATTAAAACATTTGTGGCTAATGGATGTAAAATGGTCAGTATGTTATTATTTTCTCTTTGACTAGAATGTTCATTTAAATATTATTATGATAATTATAATCATCGATAATTGAAATTTGTGTTGTAAAACCCCGTTACAGTATGCCAAAGGGACATGTGCTATCTACATTGTCTGTATTATCTGGGTGACTGTATTGAGCAGGCCATCACTGTAAATGTCACAGCCACATGCTTCATTGATAATGTCATAAATAATTCCAAAGCAGCTCAACTGAACAAACCTTTACATTTGACTAATAAGTTATAGCTGTTAAGTTTTGGGGTGAAATTGTTTGTTAAGTTGTTCAAACACAGCAGTGAAATTATTTAAAAGTAGCGGTTTGTGACCGTCATTTCGGTTTGCAGTTCAGTCACGTAACAGACTATTGTCCTTTTCATGAACTTTAGGATGGAAAAAGAAAACTACCCATTATTATTTGGTGTTTGCAAAGGGAGGCTTTTTTGATAAAATAATGGTTGCAATCAGAGTCATGTAAGTTTAGTATCAATAGAGTCTACCATTTTAATGACACCTTAACCTAACAAGCCTCTTTTAAGCTGCATAACAGAATATTAACCTAATGATGTAAGGAAATTGAAATACCCCTAATCAGCTCCAGTTCAGGGAGGTAAATTAATTTACTTATTACGGACGACTAGAGGAGCCAGCAATCCTAATCTCTAGGTTGATATTACGCATGCTTGGCAAGCACATGGCTTTTTTTAAGCTTCGTTTGGACTTCCACTAAGATTGAATGGAATGTACAGAACACAATATTATCACGCGCGTTTGGATTATCTATCACGTGAAACCTACGCAAAGCACAGCGTTGGAGAAAAAGCATTTGAACCTTGGATGGTTGTCGTCCGCACTCCGTAACCTTTGGTTATTATCAATTCAGTATTTATTTATTGTTGCACGTGTGTTCTGCAGTTTTCAGTTGAAGTTGTAGCTGAAATAGCAGCGTGTTGTCCTTCTTTGCATAATCTAAGGCTAGCTGGAATGAAGGACGTCGATGATCAGCTATTAACAGCAGTCGCTGAAAACTGCCATCATCTTGCTTCTATTAACATTAAAGGTTGTGGCCAGGTATGAATATTAAACATATCATTGTTTATTTGTTAATGCTTTCAAAGATCTTTGGGAGCGTCAATTATATAACATAGGAACAAAGGAATAGCCCAGGTTTCACATATCAAAACATGACTTCCAAGGCTTTGTGGTAATTCTTATTATGGTTTATGGTTTTCTTTGTGTACAATTCCAATCTGGGAATTACAAGTCAATGGAATCGTGACAAATTTTCAATTTTGTTAGTGAAGCCACAGTCATACTAGAATTTTGTTATAATTAGTAACCAACTAACAGGACCTCCTGACCCTCCTCACCTTCCCAGGCAAGTAAAGCTTTAAAGAGAAGTTCTTTTTGAGTAGCAGTTGGGATCTGGTGACACACTTTTGATTAATAGACACAAGTGGATGAATTAATTTCCCATAAGCTGTATAGCTTTTAAAATCATCGTGCTTGAATAAGGGCTGTCTGTTTGTCTATCTGTTGTTTTTCACAGTTGATTTTTGAATCCACAAATCATTTCTTTCTGCGAAAACTTTTTAGAACTGGTACTTGTCCATTTCTAGTCACTTTCTTACTATTATATGCTACAACAGTGAAACCTCTCTTCACGGGATACCCTCGGGACCAAGGCAAGTGTCCTCTGAATGGAGGTTGGGCTGAGGTTTGTTAATAATTAACCAAAAAATACACATTGTTACTGGAGCCTAAAATGGTGACCGCTCTCGCAGGCTATAGAATGCGCTGCAGTCATTATTTCAAGCAGCTCGATAATGTATAAAAAATCATGATTAATTTGTCTTTGTGATGTTGTGTGTCGAATTCTCACAAATGTAGTACATTCATTGAAGTGAGTTTATTGGTGTTTTGAAAGCTGTCGCCATTGTGACTAGTGAACACTTAAACTTGTGGACCATTTTTATGGTCAGTCACTTCTGCCGTACTTTTGGTTTCTAAGGTGTTCCCTGAATGGAGGTTAAACCCAGGTTTCGGGACCCAGAAAAAGTGTCCCTTACCTCTGAATAGAGGTGTCCTCTCAATAGAGGTAACAAATATAAAGATTATGGGGACATTTCTCTGGGACTAAATCTTGTGTCTCCTGAATGGAGGCGTCCCAAAGGAAAGGTTCCACTCTATTGTATTAAGCTGTCCCATTTTAATTGCAATAAATGTAATGTTAACTGAATTACAATAATGTCAGTACTACTTAGTTTAAGCCGACGGGCTATATTTGATGTATTATGTGCTTTTAACAGGTAACAGACGTGGGAGTTTGTGAGTTAGCACGTATGTGTCCGTTAGAGGAAGTTGTGGTGTCTGGTGTGTCAAGTCTTACAGATCGCTCTGTTTTCGCACTTGCTAATTGTTGTACTTCAACACTGAAAGAACTCTGGGTGTCAGGGTGTTCAATGATAACACCACCTGCTATCAATTATCTCAAGGTATGTAAGCTCCATGGTATTTCTTTTTTTTATAAATATTATTCATTAAGGTGGCTCGATACAGTTTTTCAGGGTCAATACCTCCCACGTTTGAGCGTAAACTACGTCGCCATAGACAAAGATTTGGAAAAATTAACGCCACAGTTGTATTCCATAAAGATGAAAATTTGTTATGATCACGGTTGCTATGACATCGGAGTTGTCATAGCAACGAAATGACGCCATTACTTATTTTACTTGCAGCAGTATTTCTCGGCACTGGGAACTGTTCTTCCAAAATCGTTTATTGGAACTTTTTCCTTCAATAGCCGCCTCGATGTTCCTGACGTTTAAGCGAAATCTGTAAGAGCGTTCTCGAGATATTTTGGGAAAAAGTTTTTTATGGTTAGAAATACGGTAAAATATTGACAATCTTGATGTTCGACTGTTATCTGTACTAAACGAAGCGCTTTTGACATGCAATTTCACCTCATAGTAGTTTCAATCTTTTTAAAAACGTGTGTGAAAGATCATCCGCTCGATAAATTTTTGAAAAATTTAAGAGTGTTGAGATAAACCGTCCTTTTATATGACCTCTTAGTTTCAAGACTATTGATATATTGTAAGACAGTAAAATAAGGGCAACAATACGCTCATATTTTGTCAGAAATTTTGTCTTTATAAGTGACAGCCTCTTATTATCCAGGGTATTGTCTCAAACTTTCATTTTCACGTGAGCAGCAGTAACTAACAATGCATTTGACATATGCAAAACTGCTAGCTATTGTTATGCACGAAAATATGAAACTTGGAGACAAAACCCTGAATAATGAGAGGCTCTCACTTGTAAACACAAAATTTCCGACAAAATGTTAGCGAATTCAAGCCCTTATTTTACTGCCTTAAAATATATCAATAATCTTGAAACTAAGAGGACATATAAAAGGACGGTTTATCTCAACACTCTTAAATTTTCTCAAAAATTTATCGAGCGGTTTAAAAATTATTTGCTAATTTGTTAAAGTAGACCGAAATGTTTACATTACCGCTAACAAGAGCGTTTTGATACATTGTAATCAAATGCTCTTTTCTAGAAATCGGCTGGAGGTATCCTCATGATCTTTTACCCACGTTTTTAAAAAGATTGAAACTACTATGAAGTGAAATTGCATGTCAAAAGCGCTTCGTTTAGTACAGATAACAGTCGAACATCAAGATTGTCAATTTTTTACCGTATTTCTAACCATAAAAACTTCATCCCAAAATATCTCGAGAACGCTCTTACAGATTTCGCTTAAACTTCATGAACATCAAGGCAGCTATCGTAGGTAAATGCTCCAGTAAACGATTCTAGAAGAACAGTTCCCAGTGCCGAGAAATACTGCTGCAAGTAAAATAGGTAATGGCGTCATTTCGTTGTTATGACAACTCCAATGTCATTGCAACCCTGATCATAACCAATTTTCTTCTTTATCTAATACAATTGTGGTGTCAATTTTTCCAAATCTTTGTTTATGGCGACGTAGTTTACGCTCAAACTTGGGAGGTATTGACCTTGAAAAACTATATCGAGCCACCTTAAATATTTTTTGCCGATTATGATTAGCTTTAATCCCCGGTAATGTTACGATGGCTTATTGTTATATATATATATATATATATATATATATTATATATATATATAATGGTGACCTCGTTTCCAAGTAGCGACGCCGTAGCCTAGCTGTTTATTTACTCTCACTGCAGAGGCCCCTGCTTGGTTTTTCCAATAAAAATAGCAGTGCAAAGAAACAAGTAAAGAATAACGCGGATAAGAGCAAACGACGTTTCGGTGTCATCTTAACGTCATTTTCAAGTTCAAAATGATTGCTGATAAACTGACCATACAATTTTGGCTTATGATTAGCATATATGAAATATACAAAGTCACGCAAAAAGTTTTTCTCAAATTCAGTCCCATTGCACATTTAGAGAAGGTGTTAGTTCCCTAATTAGCAACATTTCGTGCACTTAACAATCGAACTTGTTATTGCACTTCTTAAGGACAGAGAACTGTTCGTCAAGATCTTTCGGGACAGTGTTTATCCCTATAATGTTTGCCAGTGGAGGAAGACATTTTTGTGTTCATCGGCGCGCTGATGTGCCTCAGTGTATAACCTACATAACTTGCATTACACAACTCACATTGAAATTGCTTAAACTACACACTGTTGGTTAACAGTAGGCGGTTTTTTCTCATGAACGTTAAGGACTTCCTGGATCTTGTTGCCAACGAAAACTGGTCGAACGACCATGTGAATCTTCTGGCTTAGTTCTCTAAGCTGTTTGCGAACTAAATTTGCTGAAGCTTGGTCTTTAAAGGATAGGACTATACGAACTGGAGGGCTATCTGCATGGGTAGGTTTCGGTGGTTGGTCTTTGAAGCAGCAATTTCCCTGATGGTACTAGTGATGAGACGTTGCGGACATTTAAGCCGGGAGAAGATTCGTCTCAATCGATCTCATTCATCAGAAAAATATACCCAGCAAGACGATAAGCGATACGCACGATCAAGCATGGTTTTCAACAGCCCACGTTTATAGCGCATATCAACGTGGCTGTGGTAGTGGAGCAAAAGACCCATGTTGGTAGGTTTGACGTAAACTTTGGTCTCGATTTGTGGGGCTCTGTTCAAGAGTTGCATTCCGAGAAAAGGAAGCACGTCATTGTTTTCTGTTTCCATAATGAAATCTACTTAAGGGTGGCAGTTGTTAAGGACCTTAAGAAAAGAAGCCGCTGATGTTGTGTCCGGCATAATGGTTAACGTATCATCGACGTATCTCTTGTTGAATGAAGGCATTTTGCCTTCACTCTCCAGAGTTTCTTCAATGGGTGCCATGAAAACATTGGCGAGCAGTGGCCCATGGCGACTGTGTCGACCTGCTCGTCCATCGAACTGAATCAGTTGGTCTTTGGTCGCTGCTTTTAGAAGATTAACAAGGTCCACTTTGCTGAAGTTGAAATGGTGTGTTTCATTAAAACAATTGTTGTTAAAGGCTTTGTCAGCTAGTATCTGGATGGGTTCATCTAGGGGCACGTTGTTTAATAATGAGGTAACATCGTACGACACAAGAATATCACCGTTTTGAATTTAATTCGCGAATTTCGTTCGCAAACTCAAAGGTGTCGGGTATTGTGTGCTGGTCGTATGACAACGGCTTTTATTTTTTGTCCATCAGCTGTTAGCCGAAAATTTGGGTATATGGCTCACTCGAGGGGAACAGCTGAAACATGTCACATCGTAATCTTTGAGAATTAAGCAACACAAAAATGTATGATTGCAAGAATAAAGCAGTAGCTTTCACTCTGAAAATCGAAATTTAAATTTGGCCCTCATAATCTCCATTTGGCCGCCATCTTGGATTTCGGGGAAGCTACAAAGTTGCTTATATTCTTTTAACGTTAACAAATCGCGTTTTAAACTTAAATATAAAACATATTGGAACTCAAAAAATGACTTCCGTTTATTCTAGTGCTTAAATGACAACTACCTGACGTCACATGTGGAAAGACATCGCCTTTCAGTATTGGTCACAATAATACCGGCAGTTTGCACTTAATATTATCACTGGAAAAAATTGGGAGGTTTGCATAATTGTTTCAGAAAAGAGAGTAAGTAGACAAAATTAATATATGTATTTGTAGTGTGTTAAACAGAGTCCTCCTCGAAGATAACAAAACGTACATGGTCTCAAGGCATTAGTCGGAGCTTTTCGCTCTGGGTGCGAAAGTCGTTCTCTGCACCATCATGGCGGAAGAATGCATTATATTTGGTTTTTCTAATTCAACGCTATCCTAATGTAGAGATATTTCTTGTTGGACAACCTTATATCGTGCTTTCGTGATCCAGAATCAGTTTCAGCTGAATGTGAATTCCCCGTACATCCCATCAAATATCGATACAATTGCCGAATCGAGTTCACCACTGGAACAATGGAAGAGACTTAGATTTGTAACTCCGGAGTCGCTATACTTGTCCACACAGAAGTAAGTGATGACTGACTGCAGGCCACGAACAAGTGAAAGCAGCCATGGAATGACTTTGTAACGGGACGTTGCTCATCCAGTCCCACTCAAGATGAATTTTACCCAGTGAAGAGAGCTAAGCTGAAGGCTGTGCGTAAGGTTCGCAACAAGGATCGTGTGCTACCTTTCCGTATGGATCACGATTTTTTTTGCTCGGATGGTACTTCTCGGACAGTTTCATCATATTGAAATTAAAGTTGTTTACACATTGAATACAACTTTAATGGTCCTTGAGCTCTTCCTTGATCTCTAGATGATCATAAGGGACTCACGCGAAAGGCAAACAAAGCCAGACTCTCTCAACAGCGTGAGGGCGCCTCTCAGCCACCTCGAAATACTTAGCGAACTTAGCCCGCAATTCCGATCAAGGAGGTGGCAGTGTTGCAGAGGTTTACGTTTTTCTCTTGAGCTACTTTCGGTAAGGTTGCTGAGTGAGTTTGAGATGGTCAGGAGCACCAACAGCAGGCGCGTAGGTAGTGTTCGCCGTGTATCGCGATGTGTTGATAAAAAATTTCCAAAGACTGTAAATAATGTCCAACTCTGTCAGTGTTCTGAACGTCTAAAACAGGCTTTGAATAGTCTTACGTGAAAAAGGGCAGAGGCACGAAAACCAAAAGATCAAATATGTCTATGCAACTCGGGCAAGCTGGCATTTTCATCCCTTGCATCATAAGGGCCCTTATCGGCGTAAACTCTCAGTGATCACAGGCTGTGATGACATCTCTGCGTTCTTTGGCAAAGAGAAATGGAAAGCAGAACCGCTTCCCCAGCACAATGAAGGGTGCGTCCGAGCTATGATGAGTATCGGGGAGGAGTGATGAGCATCCGAGGAGTCCTTGCAATTAAAGATACGGAAGCATTCGTGCAGTGTGGCAACTATAGTAAAAGAAGTGTCACAGTGTGGATGTGCTGAATATGTGATCCACCACGGTAGACTGGCAGGAAAGTCAAACTAGAGACTCTGCCCCCATGCGAGTCATCTTTACGAGATCACAAAAGAAATTATCAAGCCGCAATATGAAGAGCCATTTTGCCGCTCCCCTCATTGGCAATTTGACACTTTGATGTAGCTCTGACGTCGCGCCGTGTGTGCGGCTTGCACCTAAGCCGGCTCCTGAAGAAAAGTACTGTCCTGTGCGTACAAGAAAGTATAAACAATAATTATTTCTACTCAAAGAATGTGAAGTATTGGATGGGGTAGAACAGAAAGATAGTTTTTACTTTTGTCATCTTTTTTGTTGTCTTTTTTCAGGTTTGATAGTATTTAGATCCCTCTTGACAAGACACGTTACATTTTGTACGTTCTAAAACGCTTTCTGAATGACTCCTGCCTAGAAACCTTTTTTTTCACATTACGATGTTCGAGACGCAAATGCGGTACATGTAAATATGTTTTCATGTAGAATTTTCCAATGATGATGAAAGGCAAATTAAGTTATGCGATCAACCCGTCAAAGTCACGTAGTGTTCGGCCAAGTACAACTGAGAAGGACTCTTCCCGCAAGACAGTAGTGTATAACGGATTGTTTGTGTTCCTTTCCAGAACTTATCATTCATAGATCCACATTTCTTGAGCAACTTTTTGACATTCTTCACAGCCTTACCATTTGACTTGAATTGGGGGCCACCATCAGAGACGGCTTCTATAGGGTTGCCGAAGCAAGAGAATGCGTCCATCACTTCTCTGATAATTAGTGAGGCCTTAGAGTTTGTCTTTAGAGCACGGACTTCAGTGGAAAATGAAAAATAGTCGGTGATAATGAGGTATTCATGTCCATAAAGATTGCAAAGGTCAATACCCAGCTTCTCTCAAGGTCTCGTTGGGAACGGCGGCCGTAGAAGCGGTTTCTTGCAATTTCGTGGAAGAAAAGCCAGGCATTGGTGGCAGCGTTTAGCCATATCCTCAATTTCCCGATCAACACCAAGTCAAAAGACGGCGAGTCTTGTCGATGCCCTGATGTTCTTCATGTAGCGTCAAGAGTATCTTCTTCTGGAGAGGCGATGGGATGACGGTGCGGCCATTCATTGAGGAGAGGGAATAACCAGGGACTGGAGTAACGTGGTAAAGTTGATGACGGATGGACCAGAAAGGTTTAGCAAGGGTGTCTACTTCTTGCAGTGAATCAGGCCATCCACGCACAGCGGATGTACTTTGTAACTCGAGAAAGCCTGAGGGTCGGTCTGTTGGGCCTTGGAAATGTCATGTAGTTGCAGGTCATCGGTTGACTTAAGTGTAGGTGCACAGCAGCTTCAGTATGAGCTTCACATATTCATCATCGAGTGACGGCTGGTCCACAGGAAAGCGAGAAAGGGCGTATGCGGCCAAGTGATCTTTTACTTTAACCCATTGTGCAGCAGCATTTTTATAACAAGAACGCGCTTATAGCGGCGGTCCGTCTCACTTGCTTGGAGATTAGATCGAGAAATGAGGAGGCCATTAATTCTACACGAAACAGGATTTACTTGCAAAGGTTTTTTACTTCCTACTTTATCGACGTCGATACTGTTATGTTTATTTGTTTCTGAATTGATTTAGTGCGCGTGTTAGCGACGACCGGTAATACGTCTGCGGTCGTAGGCTATACGCGCGTATAAATACATGAAAATTCAAGGGCCTCGATCCTAGAGGAATTGCATCATTGCCAGAGATCAAAAAAGTGATTTACATGACACGTCATTTCAATCATCGCCGAAAGTAAACCGCATGGTCATCACAAGACTCATTTGCATACAGTGAAAGTTTACAACACCCGACCATCGCAGTTTTGTTAATTAAGATTCTTTTTTTTTTCGGTAGTGTTCACTTGGTCCAAAGTAATCAACGCTCTCAAGCGAAAGAATTCGTGGACCGACACGTTTCAGAAAAGCTCTAAATTTAATCCTTCCTAAGCTTTCTTGGCAAAACATGCGTGGCTTTGTTCACGCAACGATTCTTAGTTCCAGTTGCCCCGGTCTCTGCTAGGAACCCCTAGCACAATTACCCCTGCACAGCATTTTCAAGGGTAAGATCTTTCATACACAAAGAGCTGTTCCGAAGATCATTGGATCTTATGCCAGCTACTAATCTGGAAAGCAGAACACGTTCCTTGCATGACATTCGAGTTGCAGTCTTCCAACAGTCCTCGTAATGGCATTTATTCAAAAGGGACTACAAATCAGTGAAAAATTCTCGTAATATTCGTGAACAAAGATACTTGTGCTTCCACATACCTGGGTCTGGAAAGCCTCGGTGATAGCGATAACATCATGGAGTACTAACAGGTTCATTTGTTTCAGTGTCATCATTAAGAACGTTTGTAAATAGATTTTGTTGGGTTTCGGGAGGGAGTTCAGAAAACTATGTAATATTTTTGGTAGAGTTCCGTCGTTGCTTCCAAAGTTGGAATCCGTCGGAGAAGAGGTATCGGTATCCAATCGACGGACTCGTGCAGTTTCAGAAGTAGGTTTAGGACTCTGTTTGGACGGCGTATCCTGTCTTTTAAGCAGATGGCGAAAAGAAAAAAAGCGAAATTTACACGGTACTGTATTTATCCCGTCGACTACGCAATGTTTGTTTCACATCCCATGTGGTTCCTAGCTCGTACCCGGACCCTTAGCAGGCAACACCACAGCAAAGGTTTATGAAGGAACGCTATTTGTTTCAAGTGAAGAACAAGTAAAAACAAAATGTAATTAAAAGTCTGACGTGAAGTGTGTGTTCGTGAAAACATTATAACCTTCTAGTTTCATTCATAGTAGAGCCTCGAGAATATTTTAAATTTGGCCTAAATTATTGAACTGCACAAATATTTATCTACAAAGCATAAACGAATCGGCGGCTGGTGAGAAGAATAAATCCCTACATTCCGAGGGTTTTATGCAGCAGAACCGGTTGTTCGGGGTCTTATCGTCATTTGTACTTTTCTTTTACAAAATAAACACTGGTTCACTCGAACAGGAAAGCACTCTGTCTTGCAATACAACATTGACAAAACGCTGTTCGAGTACCAATTGATCAACTGATTTACGGTCGTTCGATTTTTTTCCCCAAAATACGCTCGAGGTCGAGAGATCATCGTTCATCGCTTCACAGATAGTAGCTCACAATTCCAATTATTTTTTTGAGATTTATTTCCACATTTGCAACAAAATGGCCTGATTTCTAGTTAGGAATACCGTAACCTTCCTCCAAATTGAAAATCATACCTAGAATGCGTGTTTATCGCTTCCTCGAAATTTGGTTAGTCTGATCCGAAAATTCACAGTCTCAAAATCTCTTACAACAAAGAAACACAATTCGCAAAAATTTCTTACCATTGACCAGCAACTGATCAGATCACTCTGTCCTAACCTGTGAACCAAGATGGTGGAACCTCTATTCAGGGGACACCGTCGGGACCAAGGCAAATGTCCCCAAATAGAGGTGTCCTCTGAATAAAGGTTGGACTAGGGTTTGTTAATAATTAACAGACAAAGAAAAGTCGGAATCTGCCACAGTCCTTCAAGCTATCTCAAGTCATTCTGCTATTTCAAGCAGCTAGATATTGTATAAAGACAAAAATTAACTTACCTCTGCAATATTCTGTGTTGATTTCCCACGAGTACAGCACATAGATTTTAGTGAGATAGTTCATGTTGTGAAAGCTATCATTGACTAGTCTACACTTAAACTTATCAACCCTTTTTGTAGACAGTCACGTTAAATAAGCCAAAGTGTCCCCTGAATGGGGCTGAAGCCCGGGAAAGGTCTCCCTTTTCCTTGAGTAGTGGTGTCTCTTTAATAGAGGTAACAGATACAAGGATCATGTAAACATTTTTCCGCGACCCAATTTTCGTCCCGTGAATTGAGGTGTGCCTGCAGTAGAGGTGTCCTAAGGGAGAGATTCCACGGTAGGTTATTTTTAAGACAATCTAAAAGTTGTCTACAATGAACCAGCCGCCAGAAGGGGATTATTTGATAATTATGTTGTTTGTCCATTCCCTTCAGGACTGCTCCTTGAAACGAATATACGTTGACCACCGCACACCAAATGTTGACCCAGACCAAGTTATGGCAAAGAATCTGGATACAGGAGAGTTTTGTAGAGCTGATCTTTTGGTGTCAGGTCCTGTTGTACAGGATCCAGACTGGTTGGAATGACATTTCTAGCCTTCGTTGTACATTTTCACGACCTCATCACGTATTCTGTCACTCTAAGGTCCTAGCTTTAGATGGAAGGAGGCTCACCCTTGTGGAAGGATGACCCTGCCGGTATGATCGATCTCAGTTTCGTTTACATAAGTGGTACCCTGGGTACCCTGTAGTAAGGGTTACCCCGTATCCTTGTCAGGTTACTAGTAGGGTCGACATTTTGGCAGGAAAGTCAACTTTACTGAGACCAACTCACCGTTGAATTGGCACTAAAATATAAACATACTAAACGCTCTTACCATTATTATACGAAAGTAAGAACCTACAGCCTGTACTAAAAAGTCTCAGCAAAAGGGGTAAACGCCAGCAAATTTGCGTGTAGGACCGAAAAAGCAAGTACGTAGACATGATAAGGTAACCCTCGTGTTATTGTTTCCATGTTAAGGGGAGGGGTTTATCCTTTGACCCCTCTTGAAGTGTAACCCTTGCAAGAGGTTACCGCACTTCTTTTTATGTAAACTGGGCCTAAACTTGGGATAGCTTTAGGTACCGTGCAAATGAGCCAAAAACATAATTGTTGCGTTGCGAATTGACTGTCAGGGTTTTTAAACCTAAATAAAGCCTTTAGGATCGTTTAGACTATGAGGAGTCAATACTTAAAAAGCGTAGTTATGAGAGGAGAATGGTTATGAAAGGCGTGTTTCCTAACCAACTTCCTTATAACAAAATCTCGTCTAAGTAACACAGAAATCCTATGCGAGGAACATGTAAAATTGGAAACTTTTCTTGGCTATTTTCAACTCGTATGAATGGTTTAGTGTTCGTGGAGAAGGAAAGCGTGACGAGGCCCTAAGAACGCCTGCGTGGGAGTTGTTTAAATGGAGGTAGGAAGATCCTAGGAAAGATTCTAGAAGGCAGAACAACCTTTCGTTAAGCTTATGTTACCGGTCGGGGCAGGTGGGCGCTACTTTCCCATCACGAACGATCGCAAGACGACGAGACAGGACTAATATGGCGGATCGTGCTCTTTTACTTACCCACAATTCCTAGAATGACAATTGTGTCTATGGGAAGGGGGGAGGAGTGGTCCTATTTCCTTCTTGTCACACAATCCCCCCTGAAAAATATGTCGTCCTCGACATTATAGAACAGATGAGAAAAAAATATATATATATAGATATATATATATATATATATATATATATATATATATATATATATATATATATATATATATATATATATATATAAATATCTCTGAGATTACAGTAACACTAGACAAGTACTCTTAATCCTGCTCAGCTCCGTTGAATAGGGTTGATCAGGCCCTAATCGCATACTGAGTACACGTTAATGATGACTAGTGTTGGTTACTCCTAAAGCATAGCTACTTTAAAAGACAAACTACTCCGGTTTGTCGCAAGTTTAAGTAAGAAGTCTTACTCCATCTACCTGAGAACAAATAAAGTCCTTTTAAACACCAATTGGAAACAGTGTTGAGAGTTTCTAACAGAACCGTATTTAGTGTTTCTAATAGATCCAGTAAGGATACACTCCGACAGGTCCACATAGCAGTGGATAGGTCACTGGTAACACATAGTCCATCCAAGCATTAGGTAATCCTCCTACAGGTCCTGGAACACAAGGAACAGTCAGAGGTGCCACACCCGCATGGCGGATTGCCGAGCTGGCTGATAATAACTTGGTGTCGCTAATGTGTCATAGGTAAACAGTGCAGGTGGTCTGCGATCTCTTGTAGGTCTCTCAGCAGCCGGTCTTTAACCTACTGGCTCTGTGATCGTTGGTTCATCTTCTGCTTTTGTGGGTGCTGTTGTTTCTCGCTCATCCAACTGCTGGAGCAGTTCATCATTTTTCACTGGTTCCTCAACCACAGCTCCCCCGATGTGGGGACTGCGGTAAAGGTCAGCATATTCTCAGCCTCTTCATCTGAACTTGTTTCTGAGGCTGGGCTTGGGGGTGGACAAAACAGATGGTCTGGTACTCTTGCGCTTCTACTTCGGTGTCCTAGCCAGATCATCTGTGTTTTCTTCAAAAGGAAAGTCATTGCACGGAAGCAGTACTCTGTCGCTCGGCCGTAGAACAGACCTGTGATCCTTGCGGTCATATTGTCTCTTTCCTTTCATCCCAGATAATCTAGACCTGTGCTACTAATTCGTAGGCCTCTTTCATGGCTGTTTTTTCATTCTCTGACATAAGCTGGATAGTGTGTGCAAGAAGCGGGCTTGATTCCAAACATAAGATCAATCGGAAGTCTTTTGGACCGACGGAAAAACAGGTAATAAGGAGAGAATCCGGTGGCCTCATGACGGGTACACTTATAGGCATGTATAACCTTATTCAGGCTGTCTTTCCACCCACATTTCTGGTGTTCTGGCAAGGTGCGCAACATGGATAGGAGTGTCTGGTTCAGCCGCTTTGTTTTCCCATTCCCTAAGGGATGGTAGGGTGTTATTCTGGATCGCACCATACCACAGCATTCTTCTAAATGATGGAAAGCTGATTCTCAAATTCACCCCCTTGGTCGTGCAAACTTCTGGCACGGAACCCAAACCTCAGTATAAAGTCATTGCACGACTTGTTAGCTGCTGTCTCTCGGACTTGTTGGAGGTTGCATAGGCCTGGGTGAATCTTGTGAAATAGTCGACAATTACAAGGATATATTCATAACCCCCTTTGCTCTGCTCCAGGTGTGCAAAGTCTAATGACACCAGTTCAAAGGGTGCGCTACCCTGTATAATCTCCATTGGCGCTTTCGGCAGTATATGTGGTCTCTTTTGCTTAATGCATCTGCAAACGTGAGTCACAAAATGTTCGATGTCTCTTTTCAAGACCCTTTCAGTTCTTAAATGTCTCATTTCTTCCAGCAATTCTCTGGAGACCATTCGGTGAAACGTCCGCGGTAAGACCAGCTGCAGATCTGGGCCCCTTTTACGTCGGAGAATTCCGTCTTCGCCTACAATGAGCTTCTTCCATTCACGCAAGAGGGGCTGTCCTTCAGGTGATGCCCTGCGCCTTTTTTGCAGTGTTAGTGGCCTGCCTCTCCCCTTATACTGAATGACCTCACTGATTCCCTTGTCTCTCCTTTGAGCTTCGTACAGTTCCTTAGGAGTGAGAGGTTGCACCTTTGATTCACCCTGCAAGTTCATAATGTGTCCTATATCACTTAGCTGACTAGAAAGTGACAATAACCAAATTGCATCTCCTTTTTGCTGAGCATCCAACGCTTCCACCGTAGCTTTGATCCAATCCAGTTCTACCTCCTCAGTGCAGATGTCCATATACTCATCCATATGTATCCTAGACAGTCCATCAGCATCCTGGTTGGCTGTACCGTGTCGGTATCTCATAGTGAAATTGAAGTCAGCCAGCTCTGCTACCCACCGATGACCTTTTGCGTTCCGTTTCACTGTAGTCATCCTCGTACACCCAGGGGCAGTCAGTCGAGCCGCGAGAAAAGGCGCGACGAAAGTTTTCAAGCACAGGCGGAAGAGCCCCTGGGTACCGACTCCCAAAGGACCATTTCCAAACGGTCAAGTAAATGCTGGCTCCTGATTGGGCACAAAAAATGCTTTGTATTATTGTGCCCAATCGGCGAACAGTTTCTCGTGAGTTCTTTTCGTGAGTTCGTACACGATGGGTATTATTTGCCTAGTCCCTAGGCCTCATTTTTCCTCGCGGCCAAAGCGTTTCGGGTCACGTGGTCCATGCAAAAATGTGAGGCCTAGACAAAAATCCTCAAAGGTGAGACGAAAGTGAGACAGCTCAATGGCGATGGTAAACAAGACCAGTGTTTTGAATTTCAAAGTTAAAAATACATCGCTAAAACACACAGATGGGAAAGAAATCTTCAAAAGAATCCTTAGTTTTCTTCAAGTTGACAAAGGAAGGCTTTGTCCTTCGTGGAATTTAAAATACACGGAATTTTTATCACGGCCGATCGGAGCGCTTTGCTTGTTTTGAAACGCCACCAAGTAGCGAAGTTTTTGAAGAATTTTCAGGTACATTTTGTACTCTATAGTCAAGAAAATTACGCATTTGTGAATATTTTATCTTTAACGTTTTATACATTTTGAGACCGGCTTGAGCGCCCTGATTTGAGATTTGTGTTGAATAATTTTTGCCAAGTGCTCAGTCGATTTTACTTGCGTGAACGGATCCACGAGCCAAATTTGTGTCACGCGAATTGCTTTTAAGGATTAATATATGGGCCTTTGAATAAAATTTTCGAGAAATAGTTTCTCTGTCTATTGTTGTGTGTTCTTTCATTGATTAACATTTGCTCAAAACACGATCCTGAGACAACGCATGCAAGTTGAATTTAATGTTTCTCACCTTTATAATACACGCATCTCTTCTGTGAATGTCGGCGAATTTTATAGGATTTTTACTTTTGGATTCAGTTTCTGGACACTTTTTGATACGCAGCTAATGAATTTTATTCGAAAATATGGTTTTTCTAATTATTCAAGATTTGAAGTCTAAGGCCCAGTTCAGACGTCGTGCTTCTGCCGTGCCGAACTAAATTCAGGAATTAAGTTCGACAAAAACACGGCAGAAGCACGGCGTCTGAATCAAACTTTTGAATTAAGTTCGGCAAGCAATTAAGTTCGACAAGCGCTGCCGTGCTACACGACTCTGGCACGGCAGCGATTCAAACGTCGTGCTTCTGCCGCGCTAAACAAAATTCATAAATTATATTGATGTATTTTGGCGAGATTGCGTTCCCACGGGGAGTTGGGAGAAGAATTGTTACGAGTAGTATTACACATGAGGGTACAGGCGCATAGTATATGGTTTGGGGTTTTTGCTGACGACCGCATTTCGGGCGCCCGATTTAAAATAATTAAGAGGCTTAAAGAAATAATTATTAAAATTGAATGTTATGTTGCGTTCGGAAAAAAAAATTTTGTCTACAGTAATAGTATGAAGACTAGTCGTAATGAGCTTTTAAGAAGATTGTTATCTGGGTTAACTGATAGTGAGCTTGAAACTTTAGTTCAAATTCGAGAACAAAAAAGGCGCCCTATTCCTACTCCCCGAAAAAGAATTCCGACTCCAGCTCCAAGAAAGATGGGTGTTAAGCAATTAATTCGTTATTTTGAGAATAATCCTATTCCATTATATCAACCAATTGCGCCTCCTAGAATAAAAAAACAACCAGTGCCTTTACCAAGGACTAAAATTGCTGAAACACATAAGGCTCTGAAGGGTTTTACGAAATCCTATGAGATTGGCATAAAGGACAATAAAGATAATTTAGTACAGCAACAAAATACAAGACTCGCCATGAGTAGATTATTTGATAAAATATTAAATGATACAAAGGGTTTTAAATTTGTGGAGACATTAAAAGTTACATTTATAAAGATGAAGGATGGTGAGTTGATAGATAAATCAGGTTATTTTAATAGTAAAGTGCAGATTGTGATGAATTCAAATGATATTTCATCCAGCTTAGAATTAGCACAACAACAAATAATGAACCAAATTAGTGTTTGGTTATCGGAGGGTAGTGGATAGACTATTAGTAGCACTGATGAGCATTATTTAAATACAGTTGTGTATGAGCCGTTGAAAGGTAATTCTTATATTCCTCTACCGGTTGAATTGCGGAACTCTGCAAAGGGGTTAATTAATATTCAAAATAAGGATAATGAATGTTTTCGTTGGTGTCATATCCGATATCTAAACCCACAAAATAAAGATCCCCAACGAGTTAAGATAATTGACAAAGAGATGGTTTCACAATTAAATTACCAAGGAGTTGAGTTTCCAGTTAATGTGAAACATTACAGCAAAATAGAAGAGCAAAATAGTATCAATATTAATGTGTTTGGTTATGAGGAAGAGCAATTTTATCCAATTTATATTTCAAAAAAGATGAATGATAAAGTATTAAACCTACTACTTATTACAAAGGGTGAGAAGCGACATTATGTCTTAATTAAGGATTTTAATAAGATGATGTATAATAAGACGAAACATAAGGAGCGCAAGCATTTTTGTATGTTTTGTTTACAGTGTTTTAGCGCAGATAAGATATTAGAGAAACATAAGAGTAATTGTATGGTAATAAATGGGCAACAAGCGATTGAAATGCCAGAACCAGGGAGTAAAATTGAATTTACTAATCGTCATAAACAGATGCTAGCCCCATTTGTGATATATGCGGATTTTGAAGCGATAACAGAGAAAATATCTGGATGTGAACCGAATAATGTTAAATCTTATACGAATCAATATCAAAAACATACGAGTTGTAGTTATGGTTATAAATTAGTATGTTGTTATGGTGATAAATATTCCAAACCAGTTAAGATCTATCTAGGGGAGAGAATACGATTAGTTATTTCATGTTGGATATGCTTTCAGAAGTAGAATACTGTAAAAAAATGATTGATATGGAGTTTCAAAAACCACTTGAAATGACAGCAGAGGATGAAGACTTTTTTCAAGGATCCGATAAATGCTATATTTGTGGTCACAGATATTTAGATAATGAGATAAAAGTTCGAGATCATTGTCACATTACTGGAAAGTATCGAGGATCAGCACATCAAGAATGTAATTTAAAATTAAAGCTAGATGCAAGTAAATTGAAGGTACCTGTAAAATTTCATAATTTACGTGGATATGATTCTCATTTTATAATGCAACAAATTGGATCAATTGGAAAAAGTAATAATTAAAGTATTAATTGTATCCCAAATAATATGGAAAAGTATATGGCTTTTATGCTTGGTAAACATTTAGTATTTTTGGATAGTTTAGCAAGTTATGGCTAGTAGCCTTGAAAAATTAGTTGAAAATTTGCCAGGTGATGTATTTAAATATACAAGTCAAGTATTTCCAAATGATAAATTAGAATTGATGAAAAAGAAAGGTGTTTATCCATATGATTATATGGATTGTTGGCAGAAGTTTAGTGATACAAAGCTGCCAGAAAAAGATGATAAAAAAAAAAAAAAAAATATATATATATATATATATATATATATATATATATATATATATATATATATATATATATATATATATATATATATATATATAAATATCTCTGAGATTACAGTAACACTAGACAAGTACTCTTAATCCTGCTCAGCTCCGTTGAATAGGGTTGATCAGGCCCTAATCGCATACTGAGTACACGTTAATGATGACTAGTGTTGGTTACTCCTAAAGCATAGCTACTTTAAAAGACAAACTACTCCGGTTTGTCGCAAGTTTAAGTAAGAAGTCTTACTCCATCTACCTGAGAACAAATAAAGTCCTTTTAAACACCAATTGGAAACAGTGTTGAGAGTTTCTAACAGAACCGTATTTAGTGTTTCTAATAGATCCAGTAAGGATACACTCCGACAGGTCCACATAGCAGTGGATAGGTCACTGGTAACACATAGTCCATCCAAGCATTAGGTAATCCTCCTACAGGTCCTGGAACACAAGGAACAGTCAGAGGTGCCACACCCGCATGGCGGATTGCCGAGCTGGCTGATAATAACTTGGTGTCGCTAATGTGTCATAGGTAAACAGTGCAGGTGGTCTGCGATCTCTTGTAGGTCTCTCAGCAGCCGGTCTTTAACCTACTGGCTCTGTGATCGTTGGTTCATCTTCTGCTTTTGTGGGTGCTGTTGTTTCTCGCTCATCCAACTGCTGGAGCAGTTCATCATTTTTCACTGGTTCCTCAACCACAGCTCCCCCGATGTGGGGACTGCGGTAAAGGTCAGCATATTCTCAGCCTCTTCATCTGAACTTGTTTCTGAGGCTGGGCTTGGGGGTGGACAAAACAGATGGTCTGGTACTCTTGCGCTTCTACTTCGGTGTCCTAGCCAGATCATCTGTGTTTTCTTCAAAAGGAAAGTCATTGCACGGAAGCAGTACTCTGTCGCTCGGCCGTAGAACAGACCTGTGATCCTTGCGGTCATATTGTCTCTTTCCTTTCATCCCAGATAATCTAGACCTGTGCTACTAATTCGTAGGCCTCTTTCATGGCTGTTTTTTCATTCTCTGACATAAGCTGGATAGTGTGTGCAAGAAGCGGGCTTGATTCCAAACATAAGATCAATCGGAAGTCTTTTGGACCGACGGAAAAACAGGTAATAAGGAGAGAATCCGGTGGCCTCATGACGGGTACACTTATAGGCATGTATAACCTTATTCAGGCTGTCTTTCCACCCACATTTCTGGTGTTCTGGCAAGGTGCGCAACATGGATAGGAGTGTCTGGTTCAGCCGCTTTGTTTTCCCATTCCCTAAGGGATGGTAGGGTGTTATTCTGGATCGCACCATACCACAGCATTCTTCTAAATGATGGAAAGCTGATTCTCAAATTCACCCCCTTGGTCGTGCAAACTTCTGGCACGGAACCCAAACCTCAGTATAAAGTCATTGCACGACTTGTTAGCTGCTGTCTCTCGGACTTGTTGGAGGTTGCATAGGCCTGGGTGAATCTTGTGAAATAGTCGACAATTACAAGGATATATTCATAACCCCCTTTGCTCTGCTCCAGGTGTGCAAAGTCTAATGACACCAGTTCAAAGGGTGCGCTACCCTGTATAATCTCCATTGGCGCTTTCGGCAGTATATGTGGTCTCTTTTGCTTAATGCATCTGCAAACGTGAGTCACAAAATGTTCGATGTCTCTTTTCAAGACCCTTTCAGTTCTTAAATGTCTCATTTCTTCCAGCAATTCTCTGGAGACCATTCGGTGAAACGTCCGCGGTAAGACCAGCTGCAGATCTGGGCCCCTTTTACGTCGGAGAATTCCGTCTTCGCCTACAATGAGCTTCTTCCATTCACGCAAGAGGGGCTGTCCTTCAGGTGATGCCCTGCGCCTTTTTTGCAGTGTTAGTGGCCTGCCTCTCCCCTTATACTGAATGACCTCACTGATTCCCTTGTCTCTCCTTTGAGCTTCGTACAGTTCCTTAGGAGTGAGAGGTTGCACCTTTGATTCACCCTGCAAGTTCATAATGTGTCCTATATCACTTAGCTGACTAGAAAGTGACAATAACCAAATTGCATCTCCTTTTTGCTGAGCATCCAACGCTTCCACCGTAGCTTTGATCCAATCCAGTTCTACCTCCTCAGTGCAGATGTCCATATACTCATCCATATGTATCCTAGACAGTCCATCAGCATCCTGGTTGGCTGTACCGTGTCGGTATCTCATAGTGAAATTGAAGTCAGCCAGCTCTGCTACCCACCGATGACCTTTTGCGTTCCGTTTCACTGTAGTCATCCTCGTACACCCAGGGGCAGTCAGTCGAGCCGCGAGAAAAGGCGCGACGAAAGTTTTCAAGCACAGGCGGAAGAGCCCCTGGGTACCGACTCCCAAAGGACCATTTCCAAACGGTCAAGTAAATGCTGGCTCCTGATTGGGCACAAAAAATGCTTTGTATTATTGTGCCCAATCGGCGAACAGTTTCTCGTGAGTTCTTTTCGTGAGTTCGTACACGATGGGTATTATTTGCCTAGTCCCTAGGCCTCATTTTTCCTCGCGGCCAAAGCGTTTCGGGTCACGTGGTCCATGCAAAAATGTGAGGCCTAGACAAAAATCCTCAAAGGTGAGACGAAAGTGAGACAGCTCAATGGCGATGGTAAACAAGACCAGTGTTTTGAATTTCAAAGTTAAAAATACATCGCTAAAACACACAGATGGGAAAGAAATCTTCAAAAGAATCCTTAGTTTTCTTCAAGTTGACAAAGGAAGGCTTTGTCCTTCGTGGAATTTAAAATACACGGAATTTTTATCACGGCCGATCGGAGCGCTTTGCTTGTTTTGAAACGCCACCAAGTAGCGAAGTTTTTGAAGAATTTTCAGGTACATTTTGTACTCTATAGTCAAGAAAATTACGCATTTGTGAATATTTTATCTTTAACGTTTTATACATTTTGAGACCGGCTTGAGCGCCCTGATTTGAGATTTGTGTTGAATAATTTTTGCCAAGTGCTCAGTCGATTTTACTTGCGTGAACGGATCCACGAGCCAAATTTGTGTCACGCGAATTGCTTTTAAGGATTAATATATGGGCCTTTGAATAAAATTTTCGAGAAATAGTTTCTCTGTCTATTGTTGTGTGTTCTTTCATTGATTAACATTTGCTCAAAACACGATCCTGAGACAACGCATGCAAGTTGAATTTAATGTTTCTCACCTTTATAATACACGCATCTCTTCTGTGAATGTCGGCGAATTTTATAGGATTTTTACTTTTGGATTCAGTTTCTGGACACTTTTTGATACGCAGCTAATGAATTTTATTCGAAAATATGGTTTTTCTAATTATTCAAGATTTGAAGTCTAAGGCCCAGTTCAGACGTCGTGCTTCTGCCGTGCCGAACTAAATTCAGGAATTAAGTTCGACAAAAACACGGCAGAAGCACGGCGTCTGAATCAAACTTTTGAATTAAGTTCGGCAAGCAATTAAGTTCGACAAGCGCTGCCGTGCTACACGACTCTGGCACGGCAGCGATTCAAACGTCGTGCTTCTGCCGCGCTAAACAAAATTCATAAATTATATTGATGTATTTTGGCGAGATTGCGTTCCCACGGGGAGTTGGGAGAAGAATTGTTACGAGTAGTATTACACATGAGGGTACAGGCGCATAGTATATGGTTTGGGGTTTTTGCTGACGACCGCATTTCGGGCGCCCGATTTAAAATAATTAAGAGGCTTAAAGAAATAATTATTAAAATTGAATGTTATGTTGCGTTCGGAAAAAAAAATTTTGTCTACAGTAATAGTATGAAGACTAGTCGTAATGAGCTTTTAAGAAGATTGTTATCTGGGTTAACTGATAGTGAGCTTGAAACTTTAGTTCAAATTCGAGAACAAAAAAGGCGCCCTATTCCTACTCCCCGAAAAAGAATTCCGACTCCAGCTCCAAGAAAGATGGGTGTTAAGCAATTAATTCGTTATTTTGAGAATAATCCTATTCCATTATATCAACCAATTGCGCCTCCTAGAATAAAAAAACAACCAGTGCCTTTACCAAGGACTAAAATTGCTGAAACACATAAGGCTCTGAAGGGTTTTACGAAATCCTATGAGATTGGCATAAAGGACAATAAAGATAATTTAGTACAGCAACAAAATACAAGACTCGCCATGAGTAGATTATTTGATAAAATATTAAATGATACAAAGGGTTTTAAATTTGTGGAGACATTAAAAGTTACATTTATAAAGATGAAGGATGGTGAGTTGATAGACAAATCAGGTTATTTTAATAGTAAAGTGCAGATTGTGATGAATTCAAATGATATTTCATCCAGCTTAGAATTAGCACAACAACAAATAATGAACCACATTAGTGTTTGGTTATCGGAGGGTAGTGGATGGAATATTAGTAGCATTGATGAGCATTATTTAAATACAGTTGTGTATGAGCCGATGAAAGGTAATTCTTATATTCCTCTACCGGTTGAATTGCGGAACTCTGCAAAGGGGTTAATTAATATTCAAAATAAGGATAATGAATGTTTTCGTTGGTGTCATATCCGATATCTAAACCCACAAAATAAAGATCCCCAACGAGCTAAGATAATTGACAAAGATATGGTTTCACAATTAAATTACCAAGGAGTTGAGTTTCCAGTTAATGTGAAACATTACAGCAAAATAGAAGAGCAAAATAGTATCAATATTAATGTGTTTGGTTATGAGGAAGAGCAATTTTTTCCAATTTATATTTCAAAAAAGATGAATGATAAAGTATTAAACCTACTACTTATTACAAAGGGTGAGAAGCGACATTATGTCTTAATTAAGGATTTTAATAAGATGATGTATAATAAGACGAAACATAAGGAGCGCAAGCATTTTTGTATGTTTTGTTTACAGTGTTTTAGCGCAGATAAGATATTAGAGAAACATAAGAGTAATTGTATGGTAATAAATGGGCAACAAGCGATTGAAATGCCAGAACCAGGGAGTAAAATTGAATTTACTAATCGTCATAAACAGATGCTAGCCCCATTTGTGATATATGCGGATTTTGAAGCGATAACAGAGAAAATATCTGGATGTGAACCGAATAATGTTAAATCTTATACGAATCAATATCAAAAACATACGAGTTGTAGTTATGGTTATAAATTAGTATG